AAAATGTCCATATTCATGAGCAAAAAGATGGCGTCATGCTATTCGAAACATCCTGTTACAGCTGTTTCAGCATCAAACGTGTCTTTCGTTTACTGTGTCTTTGCTGTTTAATATAATAATGAACACAATCCATGTACAATTGTGTCAATTAGAAAACTGTTGGGTCAGACTTTTTTCCGAATTTATAGATTGTCATCCTTAGATGACGTCATAACTCAAGTGCCCTTGCGAATTGATTATCGAATGAAGGCTTGAACAATGTAAATAATGCAAAACGTTCCCCTGCAAAAACGACCAATAGTGCCTCTTATATTTCCAAAAAGTTTAGAGGAAAGGCATTGCAAAAAGATTTCCCAAAAGTAGCCCTATATACGCTTCCTTTAACTGCGTCAAACGCTGGAAGAGCAGCAGTTAAGGAGCATCATTTGGCACACATCAAATCCGCCATCGATATATAAGATGGCATATATCGGGGCAATCGGTTTCAAATTGCGGGTGTTATCCGAATCGTTGGCTGCCCCGCGGCCCGATGGTACGGCTTAAGGGCCCTCGTTGTGTCTTGACCGTAAGACAGGGATTTGACAGTTTCACTTGAGTCTTATAGGATACTAAATATGACAGCCCAATGACCGCGTTTGACATAACGGTGATTCATCAATTCAATCTCCTTTTTTTAAGTTGCATGTTTCAAATATTGAAAACGGACAGTGCGCAATTTTGATTTCTTAGGAAATTTGGCACACATGAAATCTGTAAATCGTCAAGAGTAAAGACAATTTGACAGTTGTTAAGAACATTTTACAAGGTTACGTGATGCCAAATTTTACTGCAGAAGAAAGTTGAGAATTGTATTTTACACTGCTTTTGCAAGAGTTGTACGGAAGGTTTTAAAATGTGCATGTTCCATGTTCAAAAAAGAAGGATAGTGAGAAAGTCATGGGAAGTTTTGGTTCGTGATGGCTACAAACAACCTAAAATGTCATATTGACATGGTCTTTTGACGAGGTTTGAATTAGCATACACAACATAGCTCATAGACCTACGTTATAAAAGGACATTGAAATCCGTTTCGTTTTCTGTTCGTCTTTCCTTGAGACACTTTCATATGCACTTTCATTTTACTCTCCTGACTGAGTCACTCATTAAAAGACTAATCTTTGTAGATAATATCCTAAATGAGTCTGTTCTGTCAAAGTAGAATAGTCTTGTTTTTTGTTTTTTTGAAATCTTTGGTAGAATCCAGTTCAATTGTCAATAAAATCAAGGTTTCGAATCGGAAAACATGCTTGTCGACAAGATGTTCTTGTGTGACGAAAGCTGTTGCTGAAGATGTTTTGTAACTGCAATAGTTACAACAAATGATTATCATTTTGGAGGAAATTGAAGCCTAGATGTCGTTGTAATTATGTTGTTGCTGGCATTCCTGCTGTGGTGATTGTTGCTGCTTTTGGTGATCAACAATTGTAATAACACTCTGTGATATGAATCTGACTTTAGCTTTCTTACTGGATCCAAAGTGCCAGCCTATTTTCCCGTGACCGACTGAGTCACTGACTGTATGATTGACCGATGGAAACTTTCTAAGCAGTTCATCGAGGCAGCTTGTCTTGTTTTCTTCCCATGATTTTCTCTGCTGTATTGTGCTGAACCGGTAATGATAATCTCTTCAGTAGCCAAAAAGCTCCGAGTTTACCTACCGCAGACAATTCATCGACCTCCGTCGGAATTTCGTCGTAGGCGGATCTAACGAACAAGACCCGTCCACCGGGAGCTACCTGGGCCTAATAGGGACTCGGTCCTGTCCAACTCATTCAGGCCTCATGCCAAGAAGACGAACATCTTCGTTTTCTGTAATCGGCAGTTGTTGTTCTTAGTTAAGACGGCCCCCAGATCGGTGTTCTTTAGGTCAGTAACTCGGTCCAGTGTGCATCTGCTTGTGCGCATTCGCCTTAAAGGTGTACTTTCGTTCGAAGATCGCCGAATCTTAGTGTTTCATCAAACTGTTAAAGATGTCTACCCCACGCTCGTCAAAACGTGGATTTTGTTTTCTATCTAGCGACTTTTCAATTTGTACTTTATGCCGATCATATTGCGTCACCCTTTGAAAGGGGGCTTTTATTTTGGAGGAACGCATCTCTAACTACTATTTTAAAAGTCTTAGTGTCAAGAAATGTACGAAATTTACGGTGAACGTGTTTGAAGCCTTGTTTGTTTACATAGCTGACCAGCAGTCATTTATGTTTTTTTTCTATTTTTCTTTTTTTTTATTACTCGGCTTTATTTCCATCCCAGCGTACAAATACCATGCTCGGTGTCCATAGATACGAGAACTATCCAATACACCCCTTGCATTGTGCGCCCTCACCAAGGACAGTTGTTGTAAATCAAATTCAATTAAACTAAACTTATAACTGTCTACTCAGGTGTATCACAATTGATTAATCCTGAAATGTGACGTCAAATAAATGGGATCTATTCTATATACGGCCTAATACACGTGAAGATCTATTCTAATACACGGCCTCGCCTTGTACTTTCCAAAAAAAGAAACACACTGTACAAGTGGTCTTACATGTTGATACCACTGTTGTTACAATTAAAACCGCTATTGTTGCAGTGCGGATGTTTGTAATGATATTTTACTGTTCCTGAGTTCTAATTGCATAGTAAATTTTCAGCATTGTTCCATCAACTACATTTATTTTCATTCTTGGCCCCAGATTGTCTCTTTGCGCAGGGTGTCGTCTCCAGCGTGTCAAAGGTCAATTGCAGTTGATCATGCGCAGCACGACAGTTTTTGTCAATCTGCCAAAGTTGCCGCTGCTACAGTAACGCTGTTCATATAACGCACCATTGGACCCTGTCCAAATGTCTTGTCACAAAATATATCTCATTTTATTGTACCTCTCAATTTATTATATGGACGCAGTGTGTTGCCGTCATTACTTGGGCGTCATGTGTCATGTGCGCGGCCACGCACGATTGCACACGACACAAGATACCGCATACAGAATATGTTATCACCGAGTCACGGTTCATTCGTCAAAGAGCCGCCGGTAATGAGCTCCCCCGCGGCGACGCTAAATGAGACAACGTTAACAGTAGCTGCTTCTGGGGATTGGCAGGGATATGGTTCACGGCCACACGACGACTGTTTCATGTCTCTGTGTATATTCTCAGTTAACTGACACCAGTACCCGACTCAACCAAACAAACCCTGTCATTCCTATTCAACAATGGTTTATTTAAGAAATAGAAATAAAGATCAGACTGACATAAACTTTTCATCTATTTCAATTAACATTTGAGGTTGTTATTGAAGCCGTTTTTTCCTGTGCATAAATATTAGTTAAAATTATATTATTAAAACTAACTTTCCTTCAAATAGAATGTTGGAATTCGGTAGCAGACATTTTTGTTTTATAATGGGATGTTAACAAATGCTGAGGTATTTCAAACACTGTTCTACTGAGACTTTAATGTCTTTCTTAAAACAATTTTATGGAATTTTTTTTCCCTCATTTTTCTTTTCAACGAGAAAAAAAAATTCAAATGCTGCACCACAAGTTTCCGAAAAAGTCATTAATTTTAGTTGATCACAAGAAACATCACTCATAGTACATTTAATAAGACAGGCATGTGTTTATCGTATTGTCAAAACTCACATTGGAGCAACAAAATACAACAACGATCTTGAATTATTTTCACAACAGCCTTTAAGATTTTTATGAAGACAACAGCCGTCTTTGCTTTCCTTATTTGGGTAAATGTATGTTCATGTATGAAAGTTGGAAGTTATATTATCTGTTTTTAGCTTGTAATATATTTTTATAGGAGGTGCGATCCGATTTTGGACCTCTACCACCGACCCTTTTTAAACGTGTGCATGATCGCCTTTAAGACATACAGGGTGAGTGTATAAAACGAAACCCAAAATGTCGTTACCACTTTCTTAGTGAAGTTCTGCATGAAGCTCTTTAAAAAAGGTAAGTGTTCTTTCAGCAAACGCAAACAGTTCACATAGGGACGAATGTAAATTGTTTGGGTGAAATTGCTGAACAAACACTTACCTTTTTTGTGGTTCGTGGACAGAACTTTAAAACGGTGTTTGTGCTTAAATAAGTCCGTAATTTGAAAAGTACATGAGTGATTTGAATGATTCTTGTACTAAAAGAAAGCTTATGGATTGGGCTGATATGTCCTAGATTCTGAAAGTGCTACATGCAGAACTTCACTACAAAAATGATCCCGACATTTGAGTTTCGTTTTTTCCTCACCCTGTATACTGAAGGCTTTCCTTCAGTCAATAGATTTCAGAGTAATTGATTGCCTTGTTTACTTAGGCATAATTGTTATAATGAAGCTTTTTACTCAGAGCTACCGCCTTTACAAAGAAACGGAAACATTCCTCCACACCAGATCTTTGGCCTACCCCTAGGGTAATAATTCTGCCCTTACTTTTCATAAATCCGCGTGTTTAGGGGAGTAAAGGGAGAAAAAGAATATCACGACCTTCACTAGATCGTGCCGAGCAGACGATATCAATTACGAGGAACGCGAGCAAGTGGGTATTTCTCCACCGAGAAGCGAAGCGGGTATCTACGGGGGATTTGCGCCTCGGGGCCCGCCGGCTCGTGCCCTTCCACGCGCTGCTGGCCGCGCCGTGTGTGCCTTAACGTGGGGACCTTGCAGGTCCCGTAGGGGGTTTGTTGACCAGTCATTGGAAGGGTGTTAATTGTTATTATTGTTCCCTAATTTCTTGTTGACGGAAGATAGGCCACGGCGTGTGTTTGTGTTGGGCCGCGTTTATTCACCTTAAAAATCGGTCACAAAAAAATCCCCGCTACCGATTATGTTATGTTTTGATGTAAGTTTCAGGGTCATCTGCATTTTACTATCGATGATATGCTGTGAAACCTAGCGTTCAACTTTTTAACACATTATCAACGCTTTTTTTGAAACTTTATTATCATGTAAGCATTATTAAAGGGAGGGAGGAAGTTACCATAGTTAAAGAAAGCAAACGAAGCAGCCCCATATGCATGAGGCGTGTCGTCAACATCTGAAATATTATGGAGCCGTGACAAACTGGTTGCAAACCAGCACCGTAACACTTAGCAACGTCAGAGTGACAGCCAATTCCTTTCAAATTTCCAACAACCTACAACATATCAAAAGAGGTGATTTGAAAGGGAAAAAGATCGGTGTGCTTGGTGAAGATGAAAACATATTTATTTCCATTCTCAATTCCGCAAGTAACACTTCTCATCATGAATAAACGGTACTGATTTAAAACAAACCAAACTAAACTTCGCGGAGGCTACTCCTGGTTTGTGTATTGTTCGTTTTGAAGATGGGGATCAAACTTCCAAGAAATTGTATATGTATTTCTTTTATTAAACAGGATCGAGGATCAATAAAATTGGCCACGAAGGTTACATAAAGTTGTAATACGCAGACACATTACCATTGTTATAGCATAAAGTTCACGTCCCGTCTGTTTACAAAGTTTGTTTTGAGTCAAACCATATAGTAGTTTTAAATGTACCGTATCTAACAAAATAAAGTAAACGCAAGAAGCTCCCGTGTACCAGTGAAATGTATGTGCTTCTCCCTTTAGAATTATATCAGTCAATCTTTGATGTTAATTATTACTAAAATCTGTATTGATCTTATAAAACCATAATAGTTTTGTTTAATATTAGTTATCATTATACATGTCTAAATATAAATAAATTTATACAGAATACTAAACAACACTGGTCTTGAATAATACGTGTCCATTAAGCATCGAATGTGCACATGAATAGCTTGAACATTAATGAATATACAAAACACGACATGCTTATTTTACAACACGAGGTACTTCCATAGCTACAATTTTATACAATAATGACCTCAAAAATGATTCCCAAACCTTTAACTCTTAAAATTCAAACTAACCTTCAACACTAGGCGTAAAATCCTCCGGGATAATTATTGACCATTGATTGACGTCAAATATTCCCCATAAACTTCATTTGATCTTCCGCCAAAGTCACCATGAATGTTATGCACGGTCCTGGTTCCCTGCCACACGCACTGTAATACAGCTGGCTATCGGTAACCAGCGTGGCATCCAAAACACAGATCTAACGGTTTGTTTCCTAATGCATAATACAGTATACTATATATTTTATTTCAATTTAAGTTACATCAGAACCCCTTTAGTAAGGTTCGAATAACTTCGAGCAATCCGTTGATATGAAATGTAGTCATCGCTAAATATGCATACAATGTCATAATATGCAATAATGTTAATATAAGTCAATTTTAATTGAAAGATACTATCAATAAAAAGTAAGTTGTAAGAACATTCAGTCATACCTTATTAGGCATACTCATCATATGCAATTATTTCATCAACAAATTCAAAATCAGTTGAAAGTAAAGAAGACAAAATATACAGTTAAACAATTGCACCTGTAAATTCGATTGACAAAGTCATGTACTATAAATGTACGTACATATTGAACAATGTGTGATCGTCTATAGCTATCTCTTTCCGCGATACTAGTGTCGTCGCCATTCGGTGTCAAAAACTGACCCCTGTCATGAAATGTTGTAATGTGCTGAAATTGTGAAGAATATGTTATCGTCGTCCATAGATGTATGGAACTACATCTTCTCGTGATGCTTGGTGTCGTCACCATTGGGTGTTAAATAAAGGGCTTCCTCGTAAAGTCCCACGATAATGTAGTCCTGTAAAAAGCAAAAACAACGAGGACAACAATGTCGAATTAGCTGTAATATGCATCGGTGACGTTCGGGTACACTACCGATGACAATTTCATTGTACTTTGTATGCACATCACCAAAACAGTGTGTAGTACATGAAAGTCTAGTACACTACTCTGGTTCGGGGATTTTTTGTAGTAGGTAACAAAGCAATGACATCGAGTTTGTATCAAACGTCTTGACACATTTTGTTTCAGCAATTTCTACCTTCGGATGCGAGTTGATAAGAGTAAGGGCGCCACCAAGTGGTAAACATTTCCCAAGCTTACCGCCTCTGTCTCCAGAAAGCTTTCTAGCGAGTTCAAAAGCTCTGAAAACCTTGGGCGTCGATCCGGGTCTGCATCCCAACACGACCGCATCATGTCATACCTGTGAATAACAAACACATGACGATTAAACTTCCCAAAATGATTTTTTTTCTTTATTTTGAGAAAGGGAATCTCACACGAACAAGCTGTCACTCTTTGGATACCGTCACAAAATTTATATTTCAATTGATGATTATATGATTCTGTTAAGAGCTGTTACAGTTGAATTCTGCAGAGACATCCATTATGAGTTATTACGTGAATAGTTGGATAACTTCTGGTCATTTAAACTAGGGCATACGTTGTAAATGTCATGTGTGAACGTGATACAGTAAGGATACAAAACTACATCTTACAATTTCTCATCGCAGTGTCTAGGTTTCGGCATTCGGTAACCTTCCCGCAATTTAGCGATGACGTCACCAACCACCATATTTGGGAATGGCCGAGCACCTAAATTCAATCAAAAATCAATGAAATTGAAAATAACATTAATTACCACACAGTATTGGTTACAGTAAGTCAAGCATTATCACAAGTCGAGAGACATGAGGTTTTAAAGAGAAACAAGACAAATAATAATTTAACAAGAATTTCCGTACATTAACTAAACAGAAGTGGACAATCACATTCTGTTTGTGTTGAAAACCTGAGAAATATTTTTAAAGCTAAAAAGGTCGTTCTCCGGGTTTTTCTACTTTTTTTTTTTTTAGATAAAGGGACTGATTGTTTGGTAATTGCTCAGAGCAAACACCAAGGACACTTTTCCACATTATTTCTCAGCCACGACATAATAATATAAATACACATGAAAAGTTAAAGACTAAATTTCATTCTCTTCCTCGGAAGTAATTAATTGGTCCCAGAACCTTTTTATAAAAAAAACATTTGAAATAAAGGCTACTTTAATAATTTCCTCCTCGTTCTGATTTCCTATGCATCCTAAAATGCATTATGCATTGATAATAACAGAGTGGATTTAGTGCAAGTGCTGGCAACATTGATCCAACACCACCCCCCCCCCCGCAAAAAAAAGAGAATTGATATTTCAAAAAAACACTCGGACTGTTGACACAGATTGACCAAGAAGCAGTTCGCTGGGGCTACGTTTAGTGTTGTTTTGTATTGTGATTTTGGTCCTGCGTTATTTGTTTTGAACGACTTTGGCTTATACTTCATCAGCAATTTCATTTAATGCTCCGTGAGAGTGTAAACTGCTTACCAAATGTGACGATTTCCCACAAAACAATACCGAACGACCAAACGTCGCTCTTCGTTGAGAACATTTCTTTGTCAAGGGACTCCAATGCCATCCAACGAAGAGGCCGGGCATTCTGACATACATAAAATGATTAAATATAAATCTAAACGTTGAATTACATTTATTTGTAAAAATGATTTTTTGTTTCGATAAAATAAATGAGCTGGATTCATACCGATTGAAAGCAATGGATACGTTTTACCGGACGTAGTTACATCTTGTAGTTCGTGACACTCCAATTGCCCTTTTGTCAACGGGGCTCATACTGAAGCTTACAGATTCAATAAAGCCACTTCTTAAAACACACGTGGTACGTTTTCATTGGAAGTGATGCGTTGTCATTTTCAAATAAAAAGAGGTACATGTAATTGCTATGTAAACTAGAAAGCACTCCGAAAGGGAAAACCTCCGCCAAGGCTGAACAAATCCCGCCATATTGTCAGTACACCCAAAAGAAATACTCGCATATCACCTGACTTCCAATTTCTATTGGACGTTTATAAATGTCAACAGGATTGCTCACATTTTGAATGTACCCAAAAAATAGCAATGTTGGTCGCTTTATGTCGTTAATTTTTTCAATTGAACAAATCCTTAAACTCAAAAATGTTGTAATCTACATGTATATGCCTGTGTCGGTCTACCTCTCCACTTCCTATTGAAATGGTCTAGTCCATTGACCTGTGTGGTTAGATTAGGTGGATGATAAGCATACAGGGTCACCGTGTCAGTGCACGCACACGAAGCTGCTTAGTTGAACACAGAGGTTCATGGTCTCTACACATAGCATATTCGCAAATACAAAACGGTCAAAAAATACTTTAAAAAAATCATGCATCTAGACCCAGATCCGGATCACTTCCATTTTCTACTTGTACCAAAGACCACCCCTTGAAAAAATCATGAAAATCTTCCAATACCCCTATGAGCTATCCTGTTCAAAGACCAACCAAACGACCAACCAACAAACAACCCAACCAACACACAAACCAACACCGATGAAAACATAACCTCCGTGGCGCAGGTAATAACATTGTGTATGTTTCAATGGGCATTGGAATACTTACGTCGGTCTGTTTTTGCAATGCCTTAACGTTGCCTGCATCACAGGCGAGACCAAAGTCTGAAATCTTGCAGACTTTGTCACCGGCTACGAGTACATTGCGAGCTGCAAGGTCGCAATGAATGCACTAAATGACAAAACAAGGAAGGATATAATTAACACAAATTTCGACATTCAAACCATTAAAAGTTAAAGAAAGAACTTTCAATTCTACCTAACACCTTCCCAAGGGCGTTTGATAATATTAGTCTCGTATCCAAACATACTGTGAGAAAATGCTAACATTGTTGGTAAACAACATTTACTATTATTTATGTAAGTTGTTTTTCTTAATGTACGAGCATTGCGCGTAGGGCGCACATCCCGAGCGCATTCGTTGTGCGCACGCTCAAAGTGATGGCCAAGGTCAACCTCTCTTATTAGATTGCGTCCGTTTAGACCACCCGGGTCGTCACGGGTAAAGGGTTATATGGTTGGCCACGACAGCCGGGCTAATCGAACGCTCAACCGCGGGCCATCACGATCCACACTTGATGCCCTTAGCCGTGGCTGTGGCCACTGACAACATGCTCGCTTCGGATCGGGTCTTAGTTGAGATCTACTGCCTTTTATTCAATTGCAAAACTAAAAAAAGTAGGGCTAAAATTATAGCCTCAAAAGTCGCAAAGAACTCAATAAATGATTGCCTTTAAACTTTAAATAACGTCAACTTTTACGTCCACTTTAGATTTCCGCTGTCCGGCCGCCATATGTGTCCGTTTCTAGGGAATGAACAACGCATGCGTGACGTACTTCCACCAGTGACTCTGCTCCACGGGCAGGTCTGAGGTGGCTGACCCAGGTGAGCCCCGAGAATGACGTCAGAGCTAATCGAACGGCACAGGGCTGACCCGTGTCGACCCGGGTGAGCTAAACGAACGCATCCTTAATAATGGCTCAAACGAGTTAAGCGCCGTAAGCGCCCTTGCGAAAAGCACCGTAGGTGGCGCCCTCTTATTTTGATGTACATATCAACTGGTTACTGATAAAGGCACATAAGCATAAAATATGTTACAGATATATCATCGGCTTATTGCACCTAGCGATAATTCATATCCTCTGCATCACATTTTGTCGACAATCTTGAGGAGGAGCCAAAGCAGAAAAAGTAGACAACCTACGTAACTACCTTATTGGAGGAAAGAAACGCCATGCCCTTGGCAATGTCCCTTGCGAACTTGATCAGATCGGCGCAACTCAGTGACTCGCTGCAAGCGTCGATGTAGGTGTATTCCTTGGTGCGGTTCAGTCGCAGGTATTCCTGTAGGTTACCATTGGACAGATACTCGACGATCACATACAGGGGCTCTGTGCAGAACAAGAGCAGGAAAAAGTCCATGATTGCAATGAAGCACAACATGAGAGGGTGCTATAGGGGATGTACATTGACTCTATGACGTAAGCAAGCTCAAGAGGGCGCTGTACAAAATATGATGGTATGAAGCTTAAATCTGGAAGACGCTACGAGCAATTGGCACATACTGTATTTGAAAGAATATTGAAGTAAACTTTCACAGGGATGCTGAAAATAATCTCCGTTTGCGTATTCGTTTATGGGGTGTACATACAAGGCTTTCCAACGAAGGGAGTGTCAAGATGCTTCTTTCCCCGCCTCTTCTGTAAGGCTCAGGTACGGACCCAACCTTAGTCGAGAAAGTGGTTATCGTGAACACCCCCCCCCCCCCTGTTTGTCTGAGCTGCACCTGTTATCTTGTACACTGGTGTCAGGTTGCTGATTTGCTTTATTCGTTGCCCCCATATGTTGCGCCTGTGTTTGAATCCTACCCAGGGCAACTGAGGGCATTGGCTTCCAGTCTCGGCTTGAATCCACTTTTCCTTCACTATCACCCCTGAACTTTCCTCTCAACCTGACACATGAAAAACTCTTTCTCTACAATATCGTTTCTTTTCTGTCCCTTCCTGACCCTTGGAAGTCTTGCTGTCACTGCCTAATATACAAAGATGACACCAGTCGCAATTAATATTTCAGAATATTAGCTATCCCTATTTTGGTTACTCTGTAGTACATAAACTCACCCTTTTCCAGACAGCTACCGAGGTACCGTACCACATTAGAGTGCGGTGGCATCCGCTTCATCAAGTCGACCTCCCGGAGCAGATTCTTTTTGACATCCTTCTCAGTATTTTCTACAAAGAAAAGTAAGCATTTACTCTATGATAAAACTACAGCATATTGACTCACGTGGATGTATCAAGGCAAATACCCGTCTTAGCACAAGAAGCTCTTAAAACAAATACAGCACAAAATGGATCCTGTTGCTGTTTTGTTAATTAGTACTCAATTGCTCTTCCACACGCTTGAGAACCGGCAAAAGTGTTCTGGCCCCTCTTATTAGTCAAGTATCGTAGCTTCAGATTTCTCACCGCTATCACTCTTCATCTCTTCAATGTCCTGCTGACATTGACCCATTCTCAAATCCAACGACAAACAGATCATTAGTGACTTAAACCTCGAGTAAACACCGGCTGTTCGCAGACCAGCACAAATTCACGAACTCGTACTGTCATATACTGTCAGCATTATTACACTGTGTCATCACCAAATGTATTTCATAATTGTTTTATGTAGCTATGAACATGTGAGGAAGAAAATCTGGAACCTTGAGGTGCTCGGTAAAAGACGTTTACTTCTAAGCTGTAAACTCTTGTTTAATAACGAGGAAGTGATTTGTTCCACCGATTGGAGACATTTGAAACGTTGGTGGCAGCAAATGTACCAGTCCTTTTTCAATTGTTTACGTCATATTTAAGCAAAGCGCGCATGTTCAATATGACGCAAACAATGGAAATAAAAACCCGGTATGTTTGCGACCACCAACGTCTCAAAAGTCTTCGATTACCCGTAAATTGTTTTCTTGTTAGCTTTAATTAGTGAGTGGCCTTTCCTTGCAGTAGGTTTTCAAATTACTTGTTTTTAAAAGAGGGCACCATTTTTTTGTTACAGTCTGTTGCACTTGATGCTTATGGTTAACTACCTTTTAAGGTTTTCAAGGCGACGTACGTCTGGCTCCCTGACTGTATTATGTCACTTGCAGACGCCAGGTAGACCAAGCCAAAGTTACCCTGACCAATCACGTTCAGTAAGGTCAGCTTGGAGCGTGGGAAGGGCTGGCTTGCAGGCAGGGTGACGTACCTAGAGTTGCCGTCGCTGGTATCCGGGTACACGCATGGTCGCTTGCTCACCGGGGGACCTACGAAAAAAGAAGACTAGCATCATAAAGCAAGGTCGTGCACTAACTGCGCATGTGCACATCGTCTTTTAGTTTAGTATCAACCAGTAGCAGTACTGAATGTACACAAGTCTAAAACTGACTCTGTTAACAGCGTTCCATTTTCCCTGCAATCTGAAACGTTATAAATATTTTAAATATGAATTAACAACGAGTCGTCGTTAAATATGAAATGGTCATTGCTATATATTTTTTTACAATCGACTGATACACCAAGCTCCACCCCATGGTGTTAAATGACCAATCACAGTCGTTATTTGACTCCAATACGCGTGTACTCGCATAACGCGCGTTTGTTGGCCACTTGTGCTGTGGGCGGGACCCCATTAATTGGTCTATTAATTTTGTATTTAAACACTCACAAAACAGTGAACGAAATTAAACATCATTGACTTACCGCACGAATCACTTGCTGTGCGACGAAGCATCGGAGGGGTTGGGACTCGATTCCTAAGATTCAAGTTACACACGCCCGAGCACAAACAGAAATATATAATACACAAGCTGAGTGCAATAAATTTACTTCTGATGAGATCAAATACATTGATAACTACGTTGCCGCAAGTAAAGTAGGACCATAATATATAAAAGTCCAACCGCAAATAACTTGCGTGTACCCGTGGGAAATGTAAAGTTTGGAGTAACAATATTACCATTGCTCAATAATAAGCTGTCTTGGCGCTACCGGAAAACAGTAGCTAGAGTGCGGTATTTACGGATTCGAATAAAGAGGTTGTACCCTGCAGTGTTCAACGGTACTGACAATGTTAGCACATTTTGAAATAATGTTTTATTACTTCGTAATTTATTTCGTCAAAAAATCATACTCCAAATGTCCATATTGAGACATAGCCAACAGGCATCGTGAGTTACCCTTTAACCCTGGTTGAACTTTTGAACCAAATATCGAGGCAAAGATCAGACCCAGACCAACTCCCATATGGTCTGTATGTTGTTACTTATATTATTCTATTGTATTGTAAGTAACAGACTTAGTAACCACTCATTCTGTCACAAGGCATAGTCTTGATGACGGGAAACAGGTGTTTCTCAATCTTTTAGCTGTAGAGATGTATCCTAATGCAATTGTGTTGTGATGGCCATAAACAACTAGGGAGATAAAACTCGATTTTTTTTTACATGGAAAGAAATTGCATGAAAATGGTACTTTCTCAAGATTGTTTTGTATTATATGATTCAACAATGGTAAAACGAGCAATGAGGTAGGAGGTGCACGTTATCCTCCTTTATTTTCTAAAGATGCTAACTGAAGTCATGAGACCAACCTTGTTTAACTTTCTCAGCATTTGGCTAAAAGATTTTCTTCCGTGGCATTGAAGATCCTAAGCGTTCAAAGCGCTTGTAAATCACAGAGAAGGTGCCCTTTATTTGCTCCGATTGTAATATTAAAACAGATTTACTTACTTTTTTTGTCAAAGCCGATACGACTTGAATTACATTGCTTTAATGAAGCAGCATTATTTACTGAAATGAGATTTGGTTGCATACGTACCTGTCTTGATGGTGTATGGTTGAAACTTGCACGTCTTCTATGATAAAAAAAAATAACATGTGTTGGATGAAGGTGTATGTATCAATTCAGTGATCGACAATCAGCCCACATGGGATGTGAACATAACTCAAAAGTAGGCAGACGTTTTGGTACATTTGTGTAAAGGCCCTTACGTCATTAATTTGTGCTCGTTACAAACGAATTGAAAAGTGTTGTGGTTGCTGACGAAAATGTACTGCTATTGCCTGGCATTGTTCCTGTCGTTTTGTTTGTTTTTTTTGATTAGTGAAAAAAGTATTCCTACCTTTGCTGAGTCTTCGCTTCATTCTCTTCTTCTTCACAACAATGATGGCAACGAGAACGAGGACAACAAGCCCTAAGGCACCCAGTGTCACTCCAGCAATGACCCCCGCGCTAGATGAATTAGCTAAGCAGACACAAACAGGGAAAGAGTTGAACATACAAATGTACGCTTAATTTCCATGTAAACGTCTATGCACCGAACACTGGTCTAGCTTCAATCAAAAAAATGTGTGAGATCAACTGACCGGAAGTTGAGGTTATTTTATTATTAGTGCCATCAGTTTAACATGTAATTTGAATGGTTGTTTTCAAAAATTCTTATTTGAAAAAAGCTCAGGCAGCAAAACATCAACATTACCACGTCGTACACGTAGCTTTTAGTGTAAGTCCTTTTTACCTGCAACGGGTATTTCTATTAAACTGGGATACCATTATTAATTTATTAACTTGATTAATAACCAACTTCTGAACCGACCTTTGTACATGGTTACGCTTACAACTGGCACCGAAGCCAAGCGGGCAATTTCGCGATGCTCTTTTGCACAGAAAAAGAGCAAGCTCAAACTGATCTTGGAAGCTGCGGACCAACGGATTTGTGTTCATGCACGATGAATGACGTGTTGTGTCATGTAATTTATACCCATGGAAGGCTGTCACTGGAACGTTGCTTACTGACTAACTAAACGGAGATACCCGACAATTGTTAAGCTGCTGTCCGCAGCTATAACAAATTCAACTAAGCTGGACGCTTAGCGACTAAACGTCAAAATCAATGAATGAGGTCCAAGACAAGTGTTCCCGATACGGTCGTTTCACAATAGTGTGCCTCCAAGAGTTTGCAACGCGTTGGCCAATTACAATGCGCAAAATCGGTCGACCCAATGTGCGTTTGGAAAAGGTCGACTGATTTCGCGCATTGTGATTGGCCAACGCGTTGCAAACTCTTGGAGGCACACTATTGTGAATCGCCCGTATAGGTTCTCACTCTAATTATACCGAAGTTGATTAACTGCGCATTACTTTCGTATGTTTTAGAATGGGGACCAGAAACACAGCGAAATCAGCTCGGCTCTAAATTAAATATTGATGTAACCTTTCATTTTTTGGTGTCAAAGTTCAACCGATAACATTGTGAAACATGCTTCATTATTCAAGATTGATTTTCGCTTAACAGCCGGGTTAATTAATTCAAAGCGTGGATTACCATTTCAGAGACAAGTACATCACTTACTGCCAGATAAATTACTTATGAATGACTTCAAAATGAAAGGGGCTGCGATAAGTACATTTAATCAGTCACTGCAAATGAGTGTACAGTGTGTACTTATGAAAGTGCAGCCTTCATCATCTGTTAACCTGTTGTAGATTCCAATATTAACCTCATGTAGCTTCCAATATTACGAAGCGTCAGGTAACTCAGCACATAACAACAAGTCACCTAATTGCTTCCAGGAATGGTGATATATTACAGGCCCGGTGTAATAGTACAGGGTACTTTATTGCAGTTTTCATTTCAGCGATCAAACATCTCAGTCAGTTGATGTGTACCGACAATCTATAACTGGCCTTAATGAGTGCTTTCCAGTATAGTATATTTACTCCATCTTGCACTTTTTTCATTAAACTAATTTGGTCGTGGCGAGGGATCACCTCATTGTCTTTGTTCAACATTAACTATTGACCCATTTGTGCTCACTCAGTCTGTATTTTACTAAAAACATCATGTGCACAGGCGTCAAGCGCACTCGAAATTGGAGACCCGTGGTCACATGATACATAAACAAAGTCACCTCAAAGAAGTAAGAGCACACAAGCACCCTTGAAGGTGCATTTCGTTTGGGTATGAGCAAATTATCAAGCTTGAAAAAGAGACTCGAAAGGTTAGCAATAATTATGTGGTCACCGTAAAACAGGGTGGTAAAAAAACCCGGAATGGCACATAATTACTACCCTGAGACTCACAACACATATGCCAATGCATGGAGAATCCTTTCAGAAGAAAAATAAAACCAAGATCGCCAGAGTCAATCCAGCAGTTTTTGCTCTCTATTTTGTGAAGCAAGGTGGAGGCATTTTGGTCCCAAGGAATTACTAAATCGCGCCCGGGAATTCGACTTACATTGTAATTGATAGAGGGATTGTTAGGTAATAATACCCACATGAAAGAGGTGTGCTTCACAAAATAGGCTCTGCAATAAAACCTGCCAAAGACGACCATGGATCCTATTGTGGAAGTATACAGTTGGATGATGGTATTTCAAAGTAGCTGAAATCAATCATAATTGCCATCTCTCTTACAATAACTTACCTCTCTCTACAACCAGCGACACAGCGACAGTCACCTCCTGCTCCATATCGCGAGTTTTAGCAACGCAGACTAGCTTCTTATAGTCCATGTAATTTTCCACCTGAAATTCGAACATTCCCTCCGTGTCGTATAAACCCTCGGAGATTTCGGTCTCCACTCCGTCACTACTGTACGGGTCCTCGGCCAGGATCCACGATATATCCGCCGCAGGTCTGGTTCCCGTCGCCCAGCATGTGACTGACTCGCGTTTGTCTTCCTGTACGGGCATGACGCCCCCCGATTGGTATACTTTCCCGCGACGACCTATGGTGATTTTTTTAGCATCTACGGGAACTGTAGAGGTAATGTACATCCATCATTATGACATAAAAAAGTACAAGAAAAAAATAAACAAAACTCTCCTGCCGTGTCATTGACTGTGACACAAGTTTTGGCACAGCTCCAACTACATACCACTGCACCATGCAACATGCTAACCAACGTCAGGTTACAATGGACAATGCACGTGACTTCATCCAATTAACGCATCCTTTGCCCCGGGACTGATGTACAAAGTTACCCTAACTCCCAATAGGGGTGTGCAAAATCGTATTGAAATTTGAGGATTCGGGACTGTTAGGCTGTATCAGTTTGCGCGCGTGACCCGTTCCGTTGCATGCGCGTGCCCTTTTCCCAAGGTCGTGGGAAAATCTTGTGCAAATAGTCAACGAGCCTGTCGCCATCATAGTTATGTCAAAATCAACACGTCCAGGCATGCTGCTCACCATTAACGTTCAGATTGAAGCCTACTTCCGCTCCTCCGTCCACGTAGTTGTGATTGGATGCATTGCAGGAGAGCTTCATTCTGTGATCGGCCAGTTTGGGCATCAGGGTGTGTTCGCTGGTACTAGTCTGCAATCCAGGCTGCTTACAGTTTGTGTCGGTGCCCGGCCCGCTGGAGACCTCGCTCTGGCCAATGGACCACTTGAACTTGGCTGCCGGCCGGATGCAGGTCAGGGTTTTACAGTGGAACTGGACAGCCGATCCCGCCACAACAGTCACGTTGATGTCATCGTCATTGTTATACCTGGACACGCACTGGCTGGTGCCGCTGGAATCTTCGCGACACAGCTGCAGTCCGTCAATTGGAACTGTAATCCACAAAATCCAAATATAATGAGAACGCCTCACAATACTGTGTGCCAAGGGGATGTCATGGAGAAAGGGAGACACTTTGAACCAAACGGCATTCCTTTTTCAACATTTGGTCGGTACACATATAAAACAGTTTGTACATTTATTCCAACTTCGATTTGCCCACGATTTTAGCCATGTTTTGTTTTCTCCGAGTCAAACGTTTAGAAAGGCACTGAAATTTAGGTCATTCAATACGAGTATACGTGCAGCTACTAGTGCGCACGAAACTATCTTCCCTGGATAAACAAATCTTCCAACTGTAAATGTAGAGGAAAGAAAATCGTTACCAATTTCATTTGAATACTGTTTGTCCTGCCTTTTATACATATGTGTATACAATTTTAAAGAATTAACTACTCCATTTTAATTGTTGTTATTAAAGGGGCACTAGGTCATCAAATCCCCGAAATTTTATGTTTTTGATTGTTCACTAATCCTATTTCAAACATGTGGTTGAAAGGAAACCAACCTAATGTCTTACCGTTCCAGAGAAAAGACGGAAAAAAACCCGGTTGATTACATCGGCCACGACGAAGTACGAATACGTTTTTGTGTCGTTCTTATACAGTGTAAGATATACACGTTGTGTGTCTCAGGAACAGCGGTGACCAATCACCAATGCAAAAAAAATGTGTTTTTCTTCAACGTCAGCAAAAGGCGAAAACTTTACGCGTACGAATGAAATCACAACTAGCATCCAAACGGCTCGAATGAGGTCGCAAAAGTGGACCCCGAAATTCGTTCTCGCACGCATATACTCTGACCGTCTTCAGGAGAGTGCCTAAACTCTAAGAAAGTGAATACTTAAGTAGTGAAGTCAATAAAAACATACACGCATAACATTTATTTTTGATTGGATCAAGCACAGCAATTTCGAACTTAGACGTATGCCAATATTGACTGTGCGATGCATTGAATGCACTGGATGCCCCAAAATCTAGTGACTGTGTAGTGATAACCGTGAATTATTCAGTCAATATGGAGCGATCAGTGATTGGAATATAAACATGAAGGCAAAGTTTCAGTATCCTATTCCTCCTTTGAGAAATATCATGGAGCCGTTAACTAAAACATATTAAGCAATTTGATGAGCTAAGCAATAAGCTCACAAATGCTGGTCCCAATCAGTTTTAATTGCAGGATATGTTGGTCTAAGCAACATTTTCGACGAATTCCAAATTTGGCACTGAAATCAAGAACCTCGCCCGGTGCTGTTTTTATTGAGAGGACCCCAAACCGCAAATAAACTACATTTAATATTTTGAACAAAATGTGTGGCACCAAAAATAATAATCATTATAGAAAGCCATTTTTTATCAGTTACTTTTAGATTAAAAAATACTGAAATTGCTCAATCCGTTCAAAGAATATTACCATTTAAACACAATGACCCTAAAACCTCTCTGGTCAAAAAAATAAATGAGATTTCAAGAATCATTGTCACAACTGTGTTCAAACATAACCAAAGATAAAACCACAGTTTATAGGTTAAAAATATTCAACAAAGTCCTTTTGAAGACCTGTTTTTTAAAAAGTGGATTTTATAAGTCATATTGTTTGCCAATCCAGGATAATGTGTACTACAGTTGTTGGCACTTGTTGAACCAAGTTTTCTTTTGTGTCATTTTCTGTGTTGTTCCAAACAGTCAGAATACACAATAAACTACTTTTTTTACGTTTGCGTTTAAATTGCGTTTAAATTGGTCATTGCGTTTAAATTGTGATATTTGAACGGATTGAGCCATTTCAATAATTTTTTATCTAAAGGTAGCTTATGAAATTGGCTTTCCAACCTTTATTATTTTTGGTGCTACATTTTTTTGGGGTTCAATATGAAATCTATTTCTGGGGGTTTGGGTTCCGCTTTTTTGACCCACCCTGTACAAAGTATAGGACGGCAATTCATACAATGGATTACCGATTTGAAATTTCTCTATCATCCACGGAGTACCAGTAACGCTTTGCATACTTTATATTTTGGGTTCTTACCTTTTGGGGGGTCTTGCGATTTTCTTGTTGCTAATCGATTCAATAAAATTAGCCCCTGCTTACCGATAATTTCTGGCTGCACGCATGCGCTCTCCTGATCAGGATAATTATCCCCCTGCAGTAGGAAGTAACCACTGAAACAGTAAGGAACCTCGTCCCCAGTGACGACGTTGTCGATCGATAGTGAGCCGTCCGAGGTGTCCAGAATGAAACGACCATCCTGGTAGCCCGAATGGTAATTCACACCATAATCGTATGTATATGAAAGAATCTGATCTCCATGTGTGGTGTACTTAAACCACTCCAGACTGGTGATTCTTGACAGATTGGCGTCAGGCGGGGACTTGATACGAAGGCTCAGGATGCAGCTGTCACCAACCGAGACCTCACAGGGAATGGCTTCAACTTCACAGCTCTGCTGACAGATTGCTTTACACATGCAGATACAGAATGGACAAGAACATTAGAATGGTGATGCTAAAACGAACACTTTCCAATGCCTTAGCGTGGCTCGCAACATAAAAGTCGCTAAATTTTGACTGGCAGGTTGAGCCAATGGATCATCCCTGTCCGATTTGCAATGGTGTCGAGTCCCCCTTTTATTCTTAACATTTTAACGGCCAAGTCATATTTAGTATTTTTCGCTATGGTCATCCTTTACCCATCCCCTCCACTCGACGACAAAAACTGTATATGCACCATGCACGGCGACACTTACTGTCATCTGCGCTGCGCACGCTTAACCGCTGCGATGCAGAATGGAGTGCAGTGTGGAAATTAAGTGGAAACATAGAAAATAGATTGTAGTATACGATATAAAAACAACATTTGGCGTAAATGATTACAAGAATATACAATCCCAATATCAATCTCATATTTGCATTCAATGTTTGTTTCAAAAGCACGAGTGTTTAGAGTTCTCCTGACGGTTTAGACACTATATTCTGATCTTGCACGGTACCCAAGATGTTTAATGTTTTGTTAAAATAATTTTGACGAGTAAGATATTCATTTCCCTATTACATGGCGCTATACGACACCTCGTTTCATTGACTTAACATCTTATATTTAGCAACACAGTAAACATATTCCAAATATATAGGATTGAAAGAATGTTCACCTTTAGCAATATGCTCATTTAACAACATTCATAGCCTTTAATTTGAATAGGTAAACTCATTTTATGTCATTGCGATCGACTGTCACAGTCAAATAAAAGTCAACACTCAAAACAGTGTGGCCTTAGTTGTCATCTGCCATGCCACGTTGGTAACAATTTACTAGACTGCCCAGTGCTGTTTTGACTCAGTTTCAAAAACAGAAATTAGGTTTGCGTGTTCGTTTTCATTTGTTAGAGTTTGTTCCCCTGAGAAGAATACAAAAATACTTTAAAAATGCAGTCCTGAATTTAAAGTATTTATTCCCCAAAACTTTAAATGGAATTGTAGTTTTCTTGGAAGTGAAACAATTGTTAACGTTTGCTGAGGGAGTGCAATTTTGCCTCACATTATTGAATCAATGATTATCTTGATCCCCATCGTGAATATGAATAAAGGATGTACATGTAGGCCCTTTCTGTTCAACGTGTTTTTCCACAGGGAAGGAGCACGCGTTACGCGCGAAACTGATAATGTAATAACGATATGCGGCTCTTCGTGATAACGAATCTCACTTGACCTACTTTTACGCCAATACTGTACCTCCCCGATTAAAGCGAGTTGTCTTTACTGAACAGCTTACTCTCAAATGTACCACCCAGTATTAATCAGCACCACATTCGCTCACTAGCACTATGGGACTTTAAAAGGAATCACAAACCTTGGTGTCGTAGCAGTACAACCACGATGATCGCAGCTGCTACAGATCCCATGTTGGTGCATTCAACAGTCGACGCACAAGTGGCTCATCTACAGCGATGCCAACCTCGGAGAGTCGCAAAGTCAATCTGGCGCTCTCTTCCCACAGGCCGCTGTCTTAACGGCCGCTGCACGCCCACGGAAATTGAAAGATTCCAAGACGCATTACCCTTTCTACTTCAAACAAAGCAATCAATCCAATACCAACCCGTCATACATCAACCAAATTAAATAGGGATAGGATCAGTGTAGGGAAATCACAGGAAGTGACTGTGATTGATCACGTAGATCTGCATCCGTTTTATGTCTTTTACTCGGTAAATTACAGGCCTGTTCATCACTGAAGGCAACATTCTAATTATTATGTCTCAATCTATTTCGTGCTCTGCCCCACGAGTTAATATAAGTGTGTACTTAAAGGACACTTGTAGGCAGACGCAAGAATCGTATGAGGGAGAGACGGACCGTGATGACGTTTTGTCCCTTTATTACAGACCCTTTGCATGTCAGCTATCTTAGCGATGCAGTCCTTCGCTCGAGAGGTTTGCGTGTTACGAATAGTTTCAAAAATTAATTATTTTCATTTTAGGACTGGGTATTATACATTGGCTTGTTGGGTTGTTTGCTGTTTGGTGGTTATTTTTCTTCCTTTTTAGTCATTGGAACTATCTGAATAGCAATGGGATCTGAAAAGCAGCGGTGGCCTTAACGATTTCAGGAAAGACGCGGCCTACTCTGAATGTCTGTAAAATACACACTGCTACATACATGTACATGAGATCCATTGCAAAAAAGTAGGTTTTGTTTACAAAATTTTACTTTGTTTTTTTTTTCATAGGTCAACTGGACATTGTTGATTTTCATATGGGACAATACCTTCAGCTGGCAATTTTCAAGTTTGAAGTCTGGACAAAAATAAAATTGTAAGTACACATATAATTCTACATTTATACCTATTTTATTCATTGATTTACATCTGTTTCTCATATCAATTCTTAACTGCCTACTTTTAAATTGTATTTTAGTACTTTTATAAACAAACTACTGACGAAAATTTCAAACACTGCGTGACTTGACGCATTTTTAGAAATGGCCTTCTTGTTTTGTTTTCTTCAATATAATAGCATGCCAGAAAAAAACGAGTTTATAGGCATTTCTATTTTTAGTTCAAGTAAGCTTTTCAACAGTAATTTCGTCGGTTAATTTGTAGGTAGCTACAAATAATCTACCTTACCTTTGAGTGAAAAAAATTGTTCACTGAGCAACGAGGTTCATGTAGTTAATGATTTAATTTTGCAATGTGTCCTTAAATGACAACACAGCAACTGAAATTCGTCAAATACAAAGCCTTTCTCGGATGCAGCAGATGACATAAGTAAAGTAATAGAAAATAAAAAAAGTAAAGAATGGGTAATCCCGAAAAGAATGTTTGTTTTCGTAAGTTTACACAGATCTCCGTATCTATTACAAATAGACTACGTATCTATTACAAATAGATACGAAGTATAATTAGATGAACTACGCGAAATGTATTTCGAGTTGCTAGAAATGCGAAATGCTCTAATTTGTAAAATATAACATCACTAGCTCTTAACCTCTATGTAATCTTTTCAATGTTATCAGCATAGTACTCGGTCTTGAAATGGTTTTTGTTTTCACAAATATAGACCTGATCGCGTACTTCCACCATTTCGCACTCCAACATTTATGTGGCATTTCTTTACAGGGTGCCCCCCCCCCAAAAAAAATGCCCACTCTCCTTTTTTTACAAATTCAAGCAAACCTGAATGCATAAATTTTCTTATCATGTATGGTAAGAATGCTATGTGTTTTGGTTGTTATCTACCAAAAAAATTGGATCATACTATCAATCCATAAGGGACAGAAATGCTTAAATATGAACTTGCCTCCATTTGCCAACTGCGCTGGGGATTCAAATCACCAATTTTTTTGGACACCCTGTAGTACGATGCTCTTCACATTCATTCCTCTCTCATACCGTACTTTTGTTTTTCGCTTAAGTAGATTTAATCGAATAAGATCCCACAGTTGAAAGGAATTCAGACTGGACGTGGGAACAAACTACAGTTGCTGTCGTAAAGTCCATTGATAAGCAATTCAAACTATTACCAGTAATAATCTTATGCCGTATTTTGAGCTAAAACACATGTATACAGGGTGAGTTAAAAAAAAAAGGAAACCCAAATGGTGCCCCCTATTTAAAAAACAAAATATGTATTACATGTAGCGCGTTCATCATCTATAATTTAAAAGCCCAATTAATTAGTTTCTTTAAGTAAAAGAATACATCATATCATATTGCTCGGGTACTCTTCAAGTTATGGACTTTAAATCACAAACACAGTTTTATAGTTTTGTCCACGGATCACAGTAAAGGTAAGTGATATTTCAGCGAAACGTAAACAGTTTCACATATCAAAAATGTAACCTTTATTTAAACACCCTCTGCTTCCAATGCTAAAACAACATGCTTTATTGTCAAGAGTTTATAGTATTCCCCTGCCTTCCACCTGGCTACCCAGAGACTTAAGTGATTATTCTGAAATGGTTTCCATTATACTACAAGGTTTCGTTTTACTGAAATATCGCGTACCTTAAATATTATCCGTGGACAAAATTTTAAAAGTGTGATTGTGTTCAAATTCCGTTACTCGAAAGGTGCATAAGTGATTTGAATAAATCTTGTGCTAAAAGAAAGCTTATTTATTTGGCTTATTAATTGGGCTGTCAATTGCATCATGCAGAACTTCCTTACAAAATAGGGGCGCCATTTAAATCTGTATGTAATCTTTGTTACATGTTTAATCAGTATTTCATGACTTTCATTGGATTGAAAATCACGACATGATTGTTGAAGATATCATGCTCGATATACAATGTACCCTTACACCTGGTGATATATCTTAACTGAGAACTGGTCAGCCACTGCCAGTTGCCCATTTGATGTTAATGCAATTCCCCAGGGCGAGTGCAGAGCCTGTGCGATGCACTTGATGAAGCCACCTTGATGGTCATAGTGGTGGATATGACCGTCATTGATACCATTGAACATTGAAACATAGAAACCTGAGTTATCGGTGTAAATGCCGTTGCATTGCTTTACCTGTTTACCATTGATGGTTGGTTTTATGCTGCAGTTTGTAGTACCATTGTCATTAGCAACATGCACTACCTGTGATAATTCACTACTTACAAATCGATCCCTACTGTCAACAGCTAGAAAGTAAGGTTTAATCCTGGTTCTTATGGTACGTAGGAGCTGACCATCAGAGGGACTGTGCTCAGTCAACACATTTCTCCTGACATCACCCACTACAATGGCACCATCATTTTTGATTGCCACACTCTGGAGGTTCACAATGGGCTTACCGGCCTCATTCGGCAGTACCGTCGGAAACTCGAATGCCAGCGTGTTGTCGCTATTGAATACCTTCACATTAGATGCACGTTCCTCAACAACGACCAAGCGATTGTCGGTGCGTGTAGCTGCGATGCCGCGTGGATCTGTGGGAGTCAAGAAATAAAAACAAAAACAATGATCAATAGTCTGTTTGGATTGCAATTCATGACGGCATTTTTAGAGGTACTCGAAGCATTATGACTTTCACAAATGCGTGTATACTATAGCGATGCGATCGGCATGCCTTAAATGTTAAGAGTTGTAGCAGTATCATGTCAGTATTGATTGCTCAGTTTTTTAAACTTACATCCTTGCAATTTTATCGTGGTCTTCTGGTTGCCATCGATGCTGCTGACCACTACTCGTTTGTTGTGGTAGTCAGTCACTGCAATCTCATCAGGATGACGAGCAGCAATGCCCCAAGCCACATTGAACTCTTTTGGGCCGCGTCCCTTTCTACCAAACTCACGACACAATTCCCACTTGCCTCCTACCACCAGCCTACCCAGATTTATGTCGCCAACCACCTCATTCTTTTCAAATGTCAGAAACACAAGCCTGTCGTCAACTCTGGGAGTTTTCTGCCCGGCTAATATTTTCAAGCCTTTGCTGATTGTGGGTTGAAGTGAGAGGAAGTCACTACCCGATGCAGTCCCTGCCACCTCTCTGGCTGTGTCTAAGGAGTACCGAATTCGCTCCTCCGCCAAGCCCATAGTTTTCTCACATTCGTCCAGTTTTTGTTCACGATCTGTTTGGATATTTTGGATGGCGTCGAGGATGCGATTTTCTTGAGCCGTTACCTCTGCTCGTATCTCATCTGCTCTGTCTTTCACTTCTGTCGTGATTCTCCTAGCTGTGACACCCAAATGTTCTTTCATTCTTGAGACATTCTCCCGTGCTTTCTGGAGTTCCATCATACTGTTTTCAAGTGGAGTAAACAGTTCAGCAAATGACTGCTTGAAAACGGATGTGGCCTCATCTGTCTCAACATATGAGTGTTCTGGTTTGCAATGGTTTACGACAGCACAATCTCGGCAGATCAGCATTTTACAAGTGGTACAAAAGAACCGTGCCACTTCCCCCTCATGGGTCGGACATTTCGGGTGTTGTCTCTTATGGTTCTTCACCAGTGTAACTTTCCCCTCACGAATGTCATCCAATGGAGCAACCTGGTGGTTTGATGAGGAAGCGAACCGAAGATGTATTTTACTGCAGACTGAGCACGAATTCTGACCACAGTCCAGACATCGCTGCGTTGCCTCCTTGCCCCCTTCACAAATATCACACAGAAGACCAATATCAGCCGATCCCACTATCTTTTCCTGAAGTGCAAGCTCCTCAACCAGACCAATCAGATGAAAGTTGGTTTGCAGACCCTGCACTCCCGCCTCTAGAAGTTTCGTCTCCTGTAGGCACACAGGGCAAGAAAATGTTGTAGAACCCTGATGCTTCGTGCTGTAGTATTTCAGCAGACAGTGCCCACAGAAGCTATGCAGGCATTCTAATATCTTGGGCTGTTGATATCTTTCGTGGCAGATGCTGCACTCAATGCGATGCCTCTTGATCTTCTCTACAGCTGTACTAACTGGTTCGCTAGTCGCCATATCTTCCTAAATGAAAATGAAATTGTTCTGATTAAATATAAAAGCCGTGTAACGTCTTCGCATACGTAGACAAATTGTCCTTCATTACAGTGATGATGATTTTCATATATGTTCTCGTTCTTGACCCTGAGATCCGAAAAACACAATTTGTTATGAAAAACGATCTCACCCATCAAATTTGACGTTTTACACTAAATTGTATTGTAATCAAAATTGAACGAGAGTGATGCTTTAGTTTTACACTAAATTATATTACAATTAAAATAGAACGAAGTTGACTTTTTTTTGTAAATTGGACGTTATAATTCACAATGAACTATATCTAATACTTTGTCTATAGCGGTATCGAATCAGATAAAGGAAGCGAGTTTACCACCTAGGGTTACTATTGGAGCGATGTTAAATCTAAGTAAGCCCTTGGAATGGTGATTGTTTTTGTTAAAACATTTTTGCCTCCATGTGTCACCTTTTGGGTTTTTTTGTGAAGCGCTTGCGTTAAATTCCAATTTGTTCTTCAGTTGTCCCGATGTGGTTTAATTTTAGATCAAAAATTACTCCTGTGTACTTTGTTAATACATAATAACATGCAAAAATCGCATTATGAACAGTAGAATCGGATGTTTATATCTTGCCACCCAACTCCTGTTTTATCCTTTGGGCTTCAAAACAGATAGAAACTTTCATGTAGCTAGCCTTTTAGTTTAGTATTTGCTAACTTTTTTATTCCCTTTTAAAACATCATATATCATGTCACATGAACATATCATATATATATATCTTCACCGGGTTTCATATTTTGATGTACCGTAGACCATTAACCCTTACAATTTTTGTGGTAGACACACAGGCCAACGTGTGTGGTCTGTACAGGGAGTGTTGCTTTGTTAACTCAGGCCCAGTCGGGGTACTGAACCGAGTTTTTTGTTCATTTCGGCGTACATCGTTATGCGAATTGGCCTTCTTAGCTGAAACTCAAAGTACTTAATGATGCAGTACTATTGTTTTTCTCGAGCACCAATGCTGCTGCGTTGCCGATTGAGCTCTGACTCTAAGTCAAGAGAATATTTGTTTTACCTTTAGCATGCGAGCATCGTTTATTTTTTGTTAAGTACAGTGATAGCGTATGCAGTGGTTATACATAATGTAGCCGTGTATAATTCCTTGGTTTTCATTGCTATTTTAAAGGCAAACATTATCCGTTAACTGACAGAAATAATTTACACAACATTTGCTTACCTCTACGAGTTTAATGCTTCTCTTGAAACAGATTTGTGGTACATGCTGATGCAGGTGCGATCGAACATTTTCTTGAGGATTCTTCTTCCAGTTAACACGTACTTCCGGGAATATGGCGCGTGCTGCACATATTGTAGGCTTACTGATCTCACATGTATCGGAATGTACATGTACATGCCACACAATATGACTTCATGTACATGTACATTAGGCCTACAGTTCATGTAACCCACGCAGGAAACGCACTTTTGCACAGTTCCCTTGTGTTTACACAAAGCCTTTGTGACCTTCAACCTCAACTGTCTGTGAACTTCGTCGATTCAGCCTTGAATCGTGCTTAACCGTTAGACGGGTTCGACGCGTCGTTATACCGCCCTCTATTTCCTGAACTTACTGCCTCGTTACTTGTGGTGGGTTTCTCAAAGTTTAAGAATACTAGCTGTTGTTTGTACCAACTACCAAGACGACAATCTGGTTAAATACTGTTTTTGATATAATATGTATGATTATATTATAATGAATGAGATCAGCCTTGTGGACATTCAGTTAACAGGCCCTAGCTACTCTACATTGTGTACTATAGTCATCGATGGCACAGGGGCAGTTAGGCCTATGCATTCTTGAGGTTTTTGTTCGGGATTGGTGTACTCTTCCCTAACCCCCACCCACTTTCTATTTTCAAAAGTGACCGATTTCGACAAGTGGGTGCGAAAGAGAATGTACACTCGAATGTAATTACTATTGTCAACGATTTCTACTAATGGTCAACAGGGAAGAGTGTATGCAATTTAGTTATTTTCTTTACGGCAAAGGGAGTACACCTGTTTTCTTTTAGACAAAAAGTAAACGTCAAAGTGTCTATTCAGCCACATTCTGAAATGGCCGTTGTTCTTTCATCTGGCCCCAATATTTGGTAGTCAGAGTATCACCCGATTCTTAGCCGGAGCTCACCGAAAACAAAGTCTCGGATATACGTGACAAATACAAATTGTATACGACCCCGCGTGCCAGCGAATCGGAGACAAATTTAGAAATTGGGAAGCCATTTCGATCAGAAATGTGAACTTAGCAGTTGATTGGTCAATTTGGGCTGCCATGTTATTGTAAAACAACAATGGGTTACGATGGGTCGTAATGTCCCGGTCAAGACGCAATTTTGTTTTGGGTAATGGATCATCTGCTCGCATGCTATAGACTTTTGCTGTGCAAAAGGATATCCATGGACTAAATATATTGGCCGACTTCCAAAACAACCCCTGAGAGGCCCGTTAGCAATGCAAGATATGGAGTTGTCACGTTGGTTGCCAGAAGCTAGGCGGGCAAAACAGTGACGTACGGCAGAAACAACGTAAAAACATTACTGTACCCACATTTTAAGAACTAACGCAGAGAATCCAACTGATAAATGTGTTGCTCGAGGTTAATCGTGATCGTCGATTTCATGAGTCATGCCACTTTCTATGTCAAGATTGCTCTTAAACGAGGCTCCTTACTTAACGTTTACAATAAGACATGAATTTTCCAGGTATCGACAATAAATGCAGCTGCATGTGAAAAAGCACATCATCTTAACCAGGTTTAAGATTCAAAGGTGAAGTAACCTCCGATGTATTAACCCATAAGCACCTGTAATACATTGTATTACATATTATTTATTTTCCGATTAATCAATTAAGTTGTGGGGCGGTTTGAATTCGGGCGCTATAAGAAGTAAAATATAGACAGGGCGGTTTCGGCCTACAGTTACAATAATGTTAATGCACATAAGGTTTGTCATTTCAGGGGACCAGACTAGGTCATATATAGTGAATGCACGACGGAGTGGGAATAACGGCAACTATAGCGCTAAACCTGAGTTGCCATCCATGGCTGCTTGTAAGATGACTTTATTTACATGTGCACTCCTGCAAAGAAATGGGCTACCAGTCAAATTAACCCCATATTTAATGAAATATTTGAAGGAGATATGATTTTTTTTTTTAATGGAAACAATTTCATGGTTGTCATCTTAAGAAAAAAAAACATGGAACACAAAAATCACAAAACCACTGGATAAATTCAAATGGTACCACACTGTTTTGTGCCACAGTTTTTTTCTAACTACTGACAATAATCAGGGAATAGAAATATAATGTTCAAAACCCATGATGGAGGGTATCGTAAATACATGTATTCCATTGTAAAAGCTATATTACACGTTAGTTAGTAGTTTAGTGCATAACAGATAAACCGTTATTATAATAGCAATCAATACATTCTCAAGTTTAACTTTGTTATGGATGATATCTATAGATAAATCCCTTTCATATTTTATCACAGCTTACAGTAGATAATGTCAGAATCGATTATATTGTTACAATAAATGTACAAAAATGTAAGCTTCGATTGAAAGTTAATCCTCGTTTTCATGTTTTTAAACATTCCTAATGGCTAAGAATCTCCAATAGGATTTGAATTTGAACCTTTGACAGAGATCAGGATGTCCAACTCTTATTCCAGATTGTGATATTTGTCGCAATTCCTTTTTAAACTCGTGCTGTGTGCGATTTCACATTTTCGAGTATTGAGGGAAAACGACAGTTAGTGATAACATAAGACACTCGTAACTTTTTCTGGGCTGACTTAGTTGCTAGTATTGAAAATAACTGAGAAATTATATTTTTCTTTCAGACGGTGTTTTTTTTCTAGAGCCCATTGAATTATTATTATTGGAGATGTAAAAATGAAGTGATTCGATTAATTGTATTAAGCTTTCCTATTGTTTTATTAAAACGAGATTAAAAAATCTCATTTTCTTTCGGAATTTAAATATCTGAATATCCAGGTAAATTCGTTCATTTAAAGCAGCATTAATTGACTAAATTTACTGGAAACAAGAAATAATAGACAAATTAATAAGCATTGAATAATACCATATGAATTGCGTATTTACAGGCGCCTCAAACAACATAAAATGGATAGCTCTCAGATACATTTAAAGTAGTTTACAAAAGTTCAACTCCAATCGACTCGTTGTAATTTTCTATGCACAATGAACTGCACATCAAAAGTAAATTATTGTTAATGAATTACTTGCCACATTCTTCCAAATATATCATTTACATGAGGCACATTTTATCGAATTAGTTTTTAAAACTGTCCAAATGCACTTTTGTGTCAACATCACAGTAGGTATAAAATATTGTTGTTTGCGTTATCGTGTTGCATTTTTTTCACTCCGTAAAGCTCAGTTAATGAATGTAATATTATGTTTACGATATCACGAGTCTCGACATTAACACCCTCAATTTATTTGAACCATTAAAGCAATGCATGCCTTTCACGTTTACAAAAATCAAGGTTACTAAAAATACAAATTCCCGAAAATAAATTGTACTCTTATTTCTTTCTTGTATAGCGTTTCAAGAAAATCATTCTACACTTATTGACATCAATCGAAAACACCAATTGCTTAAACAACACCAACACATGCGCATGCTGCATTGTATTGATTTGAAGCTTGAACGCTCGTAAACACATTCATTCTCTCTCATAAAATTACGATCGCCGTGTTTGTAGATTTCATCAAATATGGACATACTGGTGACTGTATATGCAACATATTTAGACATATTCTCAAGTCATTGGTAGGGAATATTCCTGTAAACGTTCTAGGTCAGTGTTTGTAACTAAGACATGTTGTTACGTTTTCTAGCAATATTAAGTGTATTTCAGTCTGTTGTGTCCCTGTTTACATGCCAACGCAGATTATCATGTCCGATAAAAATATCTATTACACCTTGTAATGCATCTTCACTGATTACAATAATCGTTTCACACCTGGTGATACATTTTAACTGAGTAGTGGTCTGCCACTGCCAGCTGGCCATCTGATTTCAATGTTATTCCCATAGGCTCGTACAGACCCTGTGCTATGCACTTGAGGAAGCCACCTTGAGGGTCATAGTGGTGAATATGTCCCGTGTTAACACCATGAAGCATTGCAACATAGATACCTGAGCTATCAGTACAGATACCGTTGCACTGTGTTACTTGTTTTCCATTAATGGTTGGTTTAATGGTGTGTTGTGAATTACCATTGCTGTCAGCAACATGCACGGTCTGCAATCTATCACTGATTACAAATCGATCATAATTGTCAACAGCCAGAAACAACGGTTTAATCTTGACTTGTATGATGCGTAGGATCTCACCATCAGTGGGGCTATGTTCAGTCAACACCATCTTGCCGATATCACCCACTGCGATGGTACCATCACTCTTGACAGCAACACTCCTGAGGTCCACTTTGGTTTTACCAACCTCACTCGGCGGCACCGTTGGGAACTCGTATGCCATCGTGCTGTCGCTGTTGAACACCTTCACATTGGATGTGTTAAACTCAACAACCACCAAGCGATTGCTGGTGTGTATAGCTGCAATGTCGAGTGGATCTGCGAGAGCCAAGATATTAAAAAGCCAATGATCAGTGTTGTATTTGGATTGTAATTCTATGTAAACATCGGACAAGAAGGTAATCAAAGCGTGTGTTACGACTATGACAAATGCGTAAATACTATATTAAATAGAGATGTGATTGCTTGCTTTAGAGTGGGTCCAGGTAAATACTTCATATAACTGTCCTCGACTTGGTGAAGGAGGTAACAAATTGATTTTTTTTTTCTTTGGCCCGTTGCAATGGTAACAGGTCATTTTGTTTGGGGGCATTTTTAGCCAGTTTTGGGACCTCAAAAATGTTTTAAACTTTTTTTTTAAAATCACCCAGCCCAAATGCAAAATTATATCACAAAATCAACTACATCGTTACAAAGTACCATCCGTGCCCTTACTTGAGAAAAAAAAATTAAATGTCACCCTTATGTTTTTTTAGAACATGCGTTAAAAGCAGGTTTTTTGATCTTGCAAATTCGTAATTTTCCCCCCAATGTTTGTCCGTCATTGAACATGCTGCTTATTCAGTAGGTGTAATGCACAGGCCTACAGCTCGCTCTTATGATTGGAAAAAGATGCCAGATTCATACAAAATATTCTTCTTTGAATAGAACTAACGTATTCCTAGCAAACTGATTTTTTTCTCCAAGTTTGGCGAAGTCCAGATACGCTCAAATTATCGGCCAACTCTGTTTTTTTAGCGAACTCCTGACGTATAAGACAAATGCCCAACGAATGAGGAACGGATGCTGAGCGTATAACTAGCGTCCATAGTAACGAATGACAACACATGCGTAGCGTCAATCCAACGAATGCTGAACGTACGCAACGAATGGCCAACGTATGCATGCCTATAGCGTGCTGCGGCCCGTCACGATCACGTTATGTGTCTCCGCTGACTCATAAATACGCTCTCCAAGTCCACGCCGTCACATTCGTTGATCAAGGGTTGATCCAGGGGAGGGGGGGGGGGACAGGGGCCATGCCCCCCCCCCCCCAAAAAAAAAAAGAAATACGAAGCTTCTTCTTTTGTGTAAGTGACGTTACAACACATGTAACCATTTTTTCTTTAAAAACGATTTGATGAAAGTGGTCAGAAATTGCGCCAGATCTAGACTTCAAAAAATGTCCGGGCCCTGAAGCGGGCCCCGAACCCGTTATTGTAGGACCTTTTGGGGGGAACAAATTGTTTTTGGCCCCACCCAAAGAAGTATGTTCTGCATCTGCCCTTGTAAATATTCTTTTAGGGAATAATTGGAATGCAGGCGAATGAGTTCTAGTTATTTTCGCCTATCACTTCCGCTCTTTACATTATTGACATGTTCTGAGTAAGTTATTGTTTACATTTTCACGTGAATCTTCACTACTTTACGATGTCTTTGTTATTTAAAAGGTGTTTTTTTTTCACACCAAATGGACTGAAATTTTAGCACATATTTCTTTGGCGTTTATATTTTGTTATATTATACGCTTTGATTATTATTTCTTTTTATTGAATAATTTGATGTAATCAATTAAAGCAAAATGTTATATACCCTGTGATATGTTATGGAGATGTTATCGACAATGCTCATTGCTTAATGACAAGAAGAGAAAAAAAAATGTTTGAGTTCATAATTTGGTAAATTGCGTGGTTATTCAAACTTACATCTTTGCATCGGGATCGTTTTCTGGTCGCCGTTGATGCTGCAGATCACAACTCGTTGATTCAAGTGGTCAGTTACTGCAATCTCATCAGGTTGGTGAGCAGCAATGCCCCAAGCCAATTTAAACTCTCCTGGACCGCTTCCCTCTCTACCAAACTCCCGACACAGCTCCCATTTGCCCTCCACCACCACCTCACCCAGACTGATGCCACCAACACCCTTACTCTGCTTGAACTTCAGAAATGCGAGCCTGTTGTCAACTCTAGGCAAATTCTGATCTGCCAACCATTTCAAGTCCTTGCTGATTGTGGGATAGAGTGAGAGAAAGTCACTATCTGATGCACTCTTTGTCACCTCTTTAGCTGTATGGAGTGAAAACTGAATCCTCTCCACTGCCAAGCCGATATTTTTTTCACATTCGTCCAGTTTTTGTTCACGATCTGTTTGGATGTTTTGGATGTCATCAATGACGCGATTTTCCTGAGCCGTTACCTCTGCTCGTATCTCAGCTGCTCTGTCTTGTACTTCTGTAATGGCTTTCTTTACTGTGACACCCAAATCTTCTTTTATTCTTGAAACTATCTCTCGTGATTTCTGGAGATCCATCATGGTGAATTCAAGTGGAGAAAACAGTTCATCCAATGATTGCTTGTAAGTTGATGTGGCCTCATCACGCTCGACGTACGAATGTTCTGGTTTGCAGTGGTTTATGACCGTGCAATCTCGGCATATGAGCATTTCACATGTTATGCAAAAGAACCGTGTCACTTCGCCTTCGTGTTTCGTGCATTTGGGTTGTTGTTTCAGATGCTTCTTCATCGTCAGTTTCACCTTTCCCTCGCGAATGTCTTCCAACGATGCTATCACATGGCTAGTTGTAGCAGCAGTTCATAGTTGTGTGAGCCGACATCGAGAGCAGATATTCTGTGCACAATCCAGACATCGATGTGTTGCCTCATTACCATCATCACATGTCTCACACAGCAGCTTCATGTCACCCACGCACACAAGCTTTTCCTGTAGTTCAAACTCTTCAACCAGACCAATCAGATGAAAGTTGGATCTCAGGCCCTCGACCCCCACCTCAGGAAGTTTCGTCTCCTGTCGACACACAGGGCAAGGAATAGCTGTAGAGCCCTCGTGCTTCGTGCTGGAGTATTTTAGAAGACATTGCTCACAAAAGCTATGCAAGCATTCTAGTATCTTGGGCTGTTGGTATCTCTCTTGGCATATGCTGCACTCAAGATGATGTCTGCTGATCGACTCTAGTGCTGAACTTATTGCAGGTCCAGTTGCCATTTTGGTCTGAAAAATAGTGGTTGATATGATGAAATTGAGGTATTTAAAACAATAAATTTAGTGTTAAGGGAAAGTTGCTGAAATCACTTATTTTCTTCAGAACATTTTGCCAATGGAGAGTAATTTCAAGAACTATTACAGTATCAATTCATAAAATGTATGTAGTATATTATATATATATATATATACAGCGTGTCCCCCAAAAATGTCCCTCTCATAAACCACAAAGTAATTACCAAAATCAAATTATATACTCAATTAAGTTTACATATTTAGAAAGCCCACTTAATTCTGTAGTTCCTGTGAACATTTCAAAGGTCTCGCTCTATTGGTTTTGAATACACAGGCTTTTATGTAACAGCTGTGCTTTCCAGCCCACTCCAAGTTTGATAAAAAGAAATGCACCCTGTCCAATATTCCATGCGACATGGCGTAAGAATACCTTATTCCATGCTTCACTTTTATTTCAACAACTGTGTTCTTGTTTTTGTTATTAAGTAACTAAAGTCAAGTTCATTTACTTTTTTTAAATGAAAACTAATCAAAGTTCAGTTCCATTGGTCGTGTTTGCTTTCACAGGGTGTGTTCCACTTATGGTTTGTTCTTCCATGTCCAGCTTGTAAACCTGTATTGTCCTCCTGCACACCCTTCCACCTGCAAACTTGGAATGGGCTGAAAAGCACTGCTGTTACATAAAAGACTGTGTATTCAAAACCAATGAAGCGAGACCGATGGAATTTTCACAGAAGTTACAAAATTACATGGGCTTTTTTAATCTGAACACTAAATTGAGAATAATACTTGATTTTGGAATTAATTTAGCAGTCTATCAGAGGGACATTTTTTTGGGGACACGCTGTATATTAAACATTTTAAAAATGGGGAAAATCAATTGAAGTATCTTTTTTGATTTTATTAATCCTGAAACTTGGTCTAACAAAGCCCTATGGGTCAACCTGCTATCCACACTATCATCATGCTTGTAATAATTATACTCCATGTTCAAATTGTTATTGATTTTGCAGGAAATTATCCACCGAATGCAATTTTGGATTTTTTTGCTCACAGATTTGTTTAATGAATGCTGATATATCTGACGTATAGTCAACTTCCTCACGTAACACTGTTTATTACATTTGTTTATAAGATAAAAGTAACCATTAGTATGAGCCGTCCCTGTATTTTAGAAGCCACCTCAGTTTATCACCTGCAACATGCTGGGTATCCGACACGGTCCATATTTCAGGAGAGAAAAAACACCCAATTTGTATGGAGCCTTGGTCCCATGGTGTCAACTAGTACGTTCCTACTACCTGCTTTTTCTCCCTGGTATTGAATCATTTGCAAAAAATATATATATTCACGTGCAAATTAGGTGCGGAATAGTCTGGTTCAAGTCCATGCATTTATCAGTGTGGGGTTGTATGAGGTGTCCAGGGTACAGATTAGACTTGGGAGTCAAAAGGTCAATAAGGCTTCTGAGCCGAACACCCTTTGTTTTAACATTATGATAAACAATGTTACCCATCGAATTTGCAGTTTTGCACTACATGTCATCATAAGCAGGAGGAGTTGACGTTAATATTTCACCATGGACGTTTTAACACGTAATACACGTTCGAAATAATATCCCCAGAGAGAGAATTTACAACTTTATGTTTACATTATTTTTAAAGTTTCTTCTTTTGCGGGTTTTGGTGGTACTTCCATTTCGCATTTTTACCTATATGCCGTACGTGTTGTTGTTCATACATACATGCAAAAATCGCCATATCAACAGAAAAATAGATTTTCTGGATATGTGTACGGTTGCCAACCTAATCTTGTTTTATCCTTTGGTCAAATAAAAATATAAATACCGTCACGACACAACAAGACTATGATGGGGAAAGTTTCATGCACGTGATCCGCATTGTGTTAAGACTTTTTTATATTCCAGCCGAAAAATCATCATACATTGTTATAATTATAATTGGTCAGAAATTGCCTCAGATTGCAAAATAGAGCATCTACACTCAACAATTTGTCGGGGTCCTTAAGCAAGCCCGACCCCTCGCCATAATTTTTTGGACCCAATTTTTGGGAGACCAAAATCTTTTGGGTGCTCCCCCCCCCCCCAATGTTGTTTCTGGATCTGCTCTTTCGCGGGATTATTTCATGTCGGCCTACATCACAACGCAAGTTGTTCTTGATTTCAGCTCAAAGTCAAGGTAATAAATGTCATGAAATAATTGTTTTCTCGGACCAATGCTCCTTTATCCATGAGATCTCAGCTTTGGGCAAAAAAATTATCTTTGGTTTCTGGTATGGAGCTTGCCCCAAAAGCAATGCAGCGACATGGCTTTTTTCCTCCTACTTTTATTTTCTTCCAGATGAGGCTTCGATTCTCTTAAAACTCCCAAAAACATCCTTCAGGATGGAGCTTGAAGTGAGCTCAGTAAGGCCATAAGGGTTGAGAATTCTGCACCCACTTACGATTTCAACCGACACGAACATTCTTCGGGAAATTTGGATTGTCAACACAAAAAAAAAACAGAGAAAACGGAACGTCAGACCATACAGCGATAGCGACATCGTGCCGCCTGTGCTGCCACGCTGGTCATTAGTCTGCTCCCTTTGCGCTAATTAAAAAGCGTTAACAGGGTCCAGATACACGACCATCGCTTCCACACGCACGTCTGGCTTCCACACACAGTACAATCACAAAAATACAATACTGTCTGGAAAATGTGCCCGCCTATTCTGTCCAAATTATATGGGAGCCAAGAGAGGCCACATTAAGCTTAAGCTGAGTTTGGCTGTTTTGAGACATTATCTTATATTTAAAAAAATGATTTTGCCCACTCGCATTGCTACGGCGGCGCGCGCATACCAGAAACCGGAGCCTTTTTAAGGGCGGCGGGGGGGGGGAGAGAATGGATTTTTGTCCGTGTATCTCGTCAGCCCTCCTTCGCTTTAATATACTAACGTCTTGGTACCAAACACAGACTAGTCTAGTTACAACTCACATGCTTGTATTTGACCAAATCTTGATCTGCATGATCTTTTGAACGGAAGACGAGATGAATAATTTTAATTTGATAATAGTCATTATAGGCCTTTATTTCCCAATATTTCTAGGATGGTGTTAATTGAAATGTTTACTTTTCTTCGAAATTACCATTATCCCTTGATTGTGTGGGCCTAGTCAGGACACAAAATAATTGCAAAAATAGGAAGTTAAACGAATTGTAGATACCATGTATGTTATCACATACAATTTCGTCCATTTTTGAGGTAAACTGACACTGCACTTCGAGCATCGTTCATATTTAGCGATATCGCATCAATGCAATCGTGATCCTGCGATTTTCATTATTATTTTAAAGGCAAACATAATCTGTTAATAATCCGTACCTCCAACAAGTTATTACACGTTCCTCTTGAAATGTTTCCTCTTGATATATACTGGTGAAGGTGCGGTCAAATTGTTCTTGATTGTCGTTTTTCAAACGCGTACTTACGGGAATATAGGGCGCTTGCTGCACACAGTGTAGGCTTACACAGAACCCGTGTGTATTGAGTATGCCACAGAAAATAACAATGTGACGACATGTACAACTTACATGTAAATGTACAATGTACTGTAGGCCTTCGTGTACACAGCGCCAGTGTACATGTATTTACACAACAGGCTTTGTGACCTTCACCCCCAGTTTTCTGTGAACTTGTATAGTGCATTACCGTCAAGTCCATGCGTCGTCATACCGCCCTCTATTTACAGAGACTTATTGTTTCGTTTATTGTGCGTTTCTAGCTGTCCTTTGTACCAACCTTCAAAACGACAATCTCCCTATATTATTTTTTACATAAACGTTTGCGAGACATATATATGTAGGATGCTATAAACATGATAAATGATAACTGAGATCAACGCGGTGGGCATTCAGTCAACAGTCAATATATATTCTTCTTCTTTAAATTTCATTGTTTTTTACTTTAAAAAGTGTTCGTTTTTTATTTACAGTTTATAATTCAGCTGTTTGAAGCTTTTATTTATTTTATTGGGGAAGTGGGTCAAGATGGATTGTACAGTACAGTCCTTTCCAAAATCCTATTGACCGAATTCGACAAGAAAGTACGAAAGAGAATCTACAATCAAATGTTTACTGTAAGTGAAATAGCACATCATCTTAACCAGTTTAAGATTCGAACGGATATCTGAATATGTGAAGTAATGATCTATAGTATTACATTGTGTTTATTCACGTAATAATCAAGAAAACCAACGAGTGCTGTGTCGGTTTAGGGCGCTACAGGAAGTAGTAATACAGGATGGCGGCCATCAAAGGAATCGGCGTATTTCCACTACCTTGCTGAGACTCAAACACCAATACCAATGGATGGATACTCTTTTTAGAAGAAATAAGATACCAAATTCTCCCGATTCGGTTCGGCATTTTGCTGCAGAGCCTGAAATATAAAGCCCATATCTTTCGTGTGGGTATTATTACATAACCATTTCAATACTTCGTGTGCCCGGTTTGATATATTCATTGGTCAGGGCGAAATGACTACAAACTTCATTGTTTAACAAAATGGAGTATAGAATTCAAAACAACTGCTGGACCGAATCTGGCAATCTCGGTATCATATCTCTCTTAACAGTATTACCCATGTATTGTTGGTAGGCCTATATGGGTCATTCTATGCGTTTGGGGTGCAAAATGGTGTCATTTTGGTGTCCCTGTCACACCTGACCTGTGTGTAATTTGAAATTGAAATATCATTGAATTTGACTTCCACTAATTTATTCGTGTAGCAGTTACTAATTTGCATTACATGATAACTGTGGGATGTATAAAGCATTAAAGAATGTGTTCTGAATTTACAAAATGTAATGTGAGATGTAACACGGACACCAATGAAGAGTGGACCCCTAATTTATAGAATGACCCATATGTTGTTCGAGTCTCAGGGTAGCGGAAATACGGCATTCCAGTTTGTGTTTTTTTGGAGGGGCACTCTGTATTCGCAGGGCGGTTTTGGGCGCCACAGATAGGGAAATAACGCAAGGGGTTGTCATTTCGGGGGACCAGACTAAGCCGTATATAGCGAATGCACCGTGACGACAAGGGGACGACAGTGCTATCGCTTTAGGGACTGCTACAAGTTCACATTTAAGCCCACGTGTAAGTTCACGTGTAAGCCCCTGCCAAGAAATGAACTACATGTAAACTTAATCACATATTTAATGAATAATTTGGGAAGGTAATGAATTGTATTACTTTTCATAAAAATGTCTTTATGATTCTAATGTTAAAGAAAATGGTACACAAAAAATCACAAAAATACTGGATGAATTTATATGGTATCACACTTTATTATGCCAGAGTTTTCTCTTTAACTACAAATTCAATTACTGACAATAATGAAAGAATATAAATATAATGCTCAAAAGCCATTATGGAGATATTGTAAATACATGCAATACAATTAAAAAAAAGTTACATTACATGCGTACGTATTTTAGTGTCTAACAGTAACAGGTAATACAATCATTATCATAGCAAGCTGTGTACACTAAATTTAGACTTTCTTTTGATTGATTTCTATGGATATATCTCTTTAATATTATATCAGGGCTTAGATTGTTACAATAATTGTTTAATAATGTACTACTCAATTGAAAGTAAATAATCCTTTTCGTAAGTAAAATACTTTTGATGTTTTAAACATTCCAAATTGCTAATGATCTTCGACGTGATTTACAGTTGAATTTTTGATACAGATCAAGATGGTTGTTAGTGATAACATAAGACTCTCTTGACTTTTTGTGTTTACTCGACGGTTAAGTTGCTGATTATGAAAAAAAGTAAAAAATGATATTTACTTTCAAACAGTGATTCTTTTCTCTGGAGACCATTGATTGCTTATTTTTTGTGAGATGTAAAAATGAACTGATTCGATTCAATGCTTTAAGCCTTTCTTATTTGTATTTATCAAAACATGGATCTCATTTCTTTTGGAACTTGAATCTCTGAATCTCTACATATCCATTCACTTAAGGCAGCATTAATCAACTAAATTCAAGCAAAACGAGATAAACGACAAATTAAAAGCATTGAATGATTACACAAAAAATGCATCTTTACAGGCGTCTTGCTTAAAAATGAAATGTATTTGTCTCATCAGAGACAATTTAAAGTAGTTTACAAAGTTTACACTCTACTCGACACATTGTAATTGTGTATGCACAACGAACTCAACATCAGAAGTTAATTATTGTAACTTGCCAAATTCTTTCAATTTACTTACCATTCTACGGCATGAATTATCGAATCCTTTTAATAACATGTCTAAATGCACTTTTGTGTCCCTATCATTATTATCAAGTTCCGTAATGCTAGTTTCAAAAGTCTTTCAGAGCCTATTCAATATGCAAATTTCCCCAACGTGAGAATGCCACCTTGAGGATCATAGTGGTGGATATGACTAGTGTTTCTATTATCTATGCTAACATAGTTACCTGAGCTATCGGTGTAGATACCGATGCAGTGTGTTACTTGTTTAGCATTGAGGGTTGGTCTGAAGATGCATTGTGAACTACCATTGCCAAAAGCAACAGGTAATGCCTGCGATTGTGCACTGATTACAAATCGATCATAATTGTTAACAACGTGATTTAATCTTGACTGGTATGTTACCAGTTGCAACTACAGTAGACAATTTGTTTATAATTCTTATGTTATTCAGACAAAAAAATACAAAAAAATATATATATGATCTATTTTTAATGTATACTTATTTCTACTTACCTATGAATTATTTTACAAAAAAAGCAAGAATACAGAATAAAGTAAATAGAAAGAACGATTAAAGTCCATGATGGAACCTACTGTAAAATGCATGTGTTTCAATGTATTAAAGCTAAATTAAACTTATTTTCGGGTGTAACAGGTGATATCTTTATCATAGCAAGCAATTTTACTCACTTAGATTAAATTTAGATTAGATAAGATTTCTTTATTATCATGCTTAAAATTACATGAAAATATATCTCCCATGGTACACTTAGAAATAGGTTTACATACACTAATTTAAGGTACACACAAAATATGACAAATATGTACACACACAAAAACACAAACTACATTGTTTGGAAATATGAGAAAAGACAAATGAACCCGGACTGATCACATTTCTAGATATTGGATATTTACAAGGTGTTTTGAACAAAATGAAAATATATGCGAGGCGTTCTGGCAAAATGAGACAGAACTGGGCGCAGATCGTAGTGGAAAAATCCCCCCCCCAAAAAAAAATACCAGATGGTAGTAATATATTGTTTTTTCGATTTTCAAATGAAATGACGTTCGTAATCTTTGATATATCCACTATATATCTTTTAAAAGGCTATATTATAGAAATCGTTGTATAAGTGTTTTTAAGGGGAAAATGGCATCTTTCAAATTCAAGACTAGAAAACAGCAGAACTGCGTTATCAATTTTTATCAGGAGAGTACTTTTTTGACACGTTGATAAAATTATTGCGAACTTTGAACAGCCATAAATTGTTAACAGATTTCCGATTTCAGTGCATTAATAAAAGCTTTGTATTTATGTTAAGTTTTATTTTCTTTCTTACTGTTTACAAATTCTTATTTCGAATTCTGCCCAGTTGTGTCTCATTTTGCTAGACCACCTAAAGTAAAATACACCTTTTATTTTTATATTCGACACGTTGACAATTTGTATGCACAACAAACTGCACATTATAAGCTAATTGTTGTTACTTAATGCCTAGTTAGATTTGGACAAGTAAATCATTTACACACGATGACGAGAGAAATGTTAAAAGTTATTTTAGTGAAAATTTAAAATGTATTTCTGTGAACCTTTTAATTACGTTTTTTAACCAACTTTCGTGATACTAGATTAAAAAAATCAGAGCCTGCTTGATTTTAACCGATACGCAAAAGCTGACTTTAAAAATCCTGTGCTATTTCTACCTTAGTAAAACAAAAAAAGTTGGAACGTGTTAAGTGTTTTGTTAGTACTCATCTTTTTTGTCATTGGTGTTAGATTTGTTTTCGCTACTTGGCGGTCTAATAACGAATGTAATTTTCTGAAGAGACTACATTTTGTGTAGTCACGGTATCACGAGTCACGATCATGAACCTCAGTTTTCAGAATCATAGGTAAATGAAAAGAAAAATGTAATTAAAAAGGTGACCTTATTAAAAGGTGACCTCATCTATATCAAAGAAATTGGTATAGATGAAGCAAAACATGTTTCAGCCAAAAAAAAATGCGTGTGACGTTTATAAATATTCATGTAACTGTAAATACAAATTACTCAAAAATCATATTTAAACATTAAGTGACCTGTGGCAAGGCCAAGATCTGCGGCCAGGAATCAAACCGTGGTCACCTTGGTGAGAGGCGAGGTTTTTCCGCACAAACCACCAATGCCACCAACTTTGGGCGGGTTGGTAATAGGGGAAAACTGGATGACGATAAAGGATGACATAAAAAAAAAAGGAGGGCAACACGGAAAAAATAAAACCCGAGAGGGTGGCGAAGGATCTGAAACAAATGACACTGGAAGGAAAAAAAACATTAATCGTTGCCAGATGGTGTGTTGAGACCGTGCGGTGTCACAGTCCGAAGACGCTTCATCCATTCTTTCTTTCTGCTAAGACGAAATGAAAGATCCTCGCAACAGCCAAGTGACTCTATGCCCTGTAACATCATATCAGAAATTGAATGTTTAGGGAGTTTGAAGTGGTCACCGACAGGGTCCTGTAGTTGTTTCTGGTTGACCATTGCTCGATGGCCAATGAAACATCTGTCCAGCGCGCTCTTTGTCTGCCCAACATACTGTATTCCACAAACTCTGCAAGATATGAGGTATATGACATTAGAGGTGCCGCAAGTGATGTTGCCGATGGTGCTGTGAGTTGTGCCAGAAGAGTGGCCATAAAAAGAGTGAGATTCCTTGATGTGGACCTGGCAAGCATTACAACAATCATTGTCGCACTTAAATGTACCGCACCGGGGGGAAATCATCTTAACTGAGTAGTAATCAGCTACTGCCAGCTGCATATCTGACGTGGATAATATCCCAACGGGAAAGAGCAGACCCTGTGCGATACACTTGAGGAAGATACCTTGAGGGTCATAGTGGTGGATGTGGCCATTGTGATCAGAATTATGCATGGTAACATAGATACCTGAGCTATCATTGCATACACCATTGGCGTGTTTTACTGGCTGACCATTGATGGTTGGTTTGATGGTACGTTTTGTAGTACCATTACCATCAACAATATAGACTGCCTGTGATCTATCACTGATTTCAAATCGATTATACCTGTCAACAGCCAGAAAGTAAGGTTTAATCTTGACTGGTATGGTACGTCGGAGCTTACCATCAGTGGGGCTATGTTCAGTCAACACGATTCTTCTGACATCACCCACTACGATGGTACCATTACTCTTGACTGCAACGCTCTTGAGTTCCACTGCGGTCTTACCGATTTCATTCAGCGGTACTGTGAGGAACTTGAATGCCAGAGTGTTGTCGCTGTTGAAGACCTTTACATTGTATTTTTGTTCCTCAACAACCACTAAGCGATTATTGGCACGCGTAGCTGCGATGCCGCTTGGACCTTTGAGAGTCGAGTCAAGATATAAACAAAAAAAGGAATCAGCGTTTAATTTCATAAAGGCCTCATAAAATAAAGTATTCAAGGGCGTGATATATCCATTTAAAAATCCTTGTGTACTATTTTAGATTTGATTTGTATGCCTTTGATTTGTATGCTAAATTTATGAGCATTATGTAAGGTTTTCTGTGTAAATTTGTCTTTTCATAATTGTTTTTATTGTCAGGAGAATTACGACCGAGTTATGTGGACTTTCTGCCGTCCAAAAAGCGTATTTGGTCCCCATAATAAATATTGCCTAACGTGTAGTCTCCAAAATAACGGCACAATACGGTATGTATCTTCCAGTGCCAATAATACAAAGTGTTTCATGAATTTAAAAAAAAGTCAATAAAAATGAAAATACACGTAAATTGTTTTGTGTCATCGCAAGCCACTTCCGCTCAATATTTTAATCACTCGTTACGATAATTTTAGCGTTTAAAGCTTATGTCTGTGTCTTTTGTCTTCATAACTGAATATTATATATTATACAACACCTGAATAAATACCCGTCATCTGATTGGTGGATTGTTGATCACATGCCATTTAATTATTCGTACCAACGCACGGCGCGCAGCACACAGTGCAATGAAAGTTCTATTGCACGGCGAGTAGAACTTCCATTGCACGGTGACACTGTTGCTGGTGGTGGCGCTGTTTTAAATCGAGATAAATTGAATATGATTGTTCTCAGTCTGTTGAACAGTTTGCATTAATATAAATATGATGAACTTGTCGAACTTTTAAACAGTTTTTAACCTGAATAAATTGGCTTTTAAAAGTCAACCAATCAGGTGACAAGGATTTATTAAGGTGTTATATAAAACAAATAATGAATGTTTCACGTTCGTGCAATGGAAAGAATAATTTCATTCGGTGACAGATGAAATGTTCCATGGAACATTTCATTTGTCACCTCATGAAATTATTCTTACCATTGCACTCACAAACATTTGTATATTTGTATATTTGTTATATTCCTCTTGGAAATGAAGAGTTTTGCATTATGTGCGTACAACGTTATTCACACACGCAAAATAATTTTTAAAATTTTGGGTGATTCAGTGTGATCCATTTTGAAAAAAAAGTCTATATCCTGCTGGAGTAATTGCACAAAATTGTGAATGACGACTAAACAAAAACAAAGTTGTTCATGTGCACAATTTAAAAGATCGCTTGGTTGTTCAAACTTACATGATTCCCTTTGGATCGTGCTTTTCTGCTTCCCATCGATGCCGTAGATAACAACTCGTTTGTTGGAGATGTCAGTCACTGCAATCTCATTAGGTTTACGAGCAGCGATGCCCCAAGCCCCATTAAACTCTTCTGGACCGCTTCCCTTTCTACCAAACTCAAGACAAATTTCCCACATGTCTTCCAACACTAGCTTTCCAAGATCAAGGTCACCAACATCCTCATCCTCATTCAACTGCCTGGCTAACATGCCCAATTCTTTGCCTACTGCGGGATTAAGTGGGAGGAAGTCACTCTCTGTCCATGTCACCTCTCTCATTACTACATCTTTCGATTCAAGCTCTTCAACTAGACTAACCAAACGAAGGTCTGTTTTCAGACCTTTTACCCCCAACTGAGGAAGTTTCGTCTTTTGTTGACACTCAGGACAAGGAATATTTGTCGGGCCCTTATATTCCTTGTAGTATTGAAGCAAACATAGCTCACAAAAGCTATGCAGACATTCCAGTGTCTTAGGCTGTTTAAATATCTCTTGGCAGATGTTGCACACAAGATGACTTCTGATCCTCTCTATTGTTGAACTCACTGCATGTCCAGTCGCCATGTTTATCTAATAAATGTGAAGAAAAATGAGAGTGATAAAAATGTAACTTAAGTTCATCAAAAGTGTATCATCCGCATGTCTTTGTATATGATGCTGCACTCTAGACGATGTCAGGTCATAGTCTGGATCGTGTAATTGCCATCTTTACCTGTAATATAATGATTGATTTAAAGTATAAGAATCAATAGAAAAAAGTACGATTGTTCACGACCATTATGTCCGTTTGGTCGATAACGTCCAACAACAGAGTTAGACGAGCGACGGCCGACTGTGTCCGACGTCCGATTATGTCCGACCCATTGTGTCCGACGTCCGATTATGCCCGACCCATTGTGTCCGACGTCCGATTATGTCCGACCCATTATGTCCGACGACCGATTATGTCCGACCAATTGTGTCCGACGTCCGATTTATCAGATCCAATGTGTTCTACGGCCAATTATGTCCGCCCCATTATGTCCGACTTCCGATATCGAAGGAGAATCACACAAAAAACTAAAACGTGTGCACTTCAGAAATTTATTGCCGAATTGCAAACGTGTTCAATGCGGCTTATTCGAAGTACTTTCGTGGTGTTCTCGAGGTTGGGCTGAAGTTACATTGGATTTAACGGGATGGCCCCGGATGGTTGGCCTGTTTTACGGCCGTTTTCATTACGCGGTACTCGATGGTACGTCAGAGTGAGCTCCGGAGTCCACGGAGTGTCCACGAGTTCGCCACGAAGTGCTTTCCTGTTTCCGAGGTGGCCACGGATTACTCACGAAGTAAAAACGGGTACCACGAAATAAAAACGTGCTGGCATCAAAAAAAGGACCAAAAAAAAAAAAAACCGGGGGAAAAATGCATTTTGGAAGTGAACTCGCATTGGTCTTAGATTTGTGTGAGAGGGGCATTACACAGGCACAGGAGTGGGGTACTTCCTTTGTTCGCGTGTACTAACATTTTGCAAAGTCGCAAACTAATGTAAACATGCTCTTATTTTAATCAGAATTAATTTCTTGGACTGAAATTCGGACTTAACACTCCTTTTCTAAAACTCCATTTGCGACAAATCGACCCACCTTGAAAATTCCTACTTTTTGAGTAAAATCCATATATCTATTTCGTGAAAAAATTGTGGGGTAACAAAACGGCACCCCGCAAGTCGGTGGGCATTCCTTTTGGAGTACCTCCCATTGTTCCGGTTCCCCATAAGGCAGTGCTTATACGTTCGCCCATACTTGTAAGAGGTAAGCACATTTGTGTTAATTAGTTCAGCCTGTTGATAATGTTTGCCTTTAATTTAGCAATAAAAACCGAAGTATCACGGATGTATATGGTCTGAGTATCACCCGTTATCCAGGGAGCCCAGACTCCTGTCTCACGTCTGATATATCAAAGCATGCAGATTTATGCGATCTCGCACCTCAGCCAATAGGAGTCGACTTTACAAAATCGTGACGTCATTTCATTCCCAAATCAGGACTAAACGTTTGATTGGTCAATTCGAATGCAGTGTTTTGTAATACAACTACAGCCGGGCGTGTAACACGTAACATAATACAGAGCGCGTGACACATCCTTTGTTGTGTCTGTGTCTAGTTTTTTTTTATCCATGTCTATGACGCAACAACTGGTGAATGACCAAAGACTAGATATAGGGAGCGCCCGCTGATTGTATCTAGAGATCAAGATGCGGTTGTCTTGCATAATTAATTGCGAATTTGCTCAAATGTATACGAAACTGTTATAGGGACTTGGGTGAAAAAAATCTCTCCCTGCAGGTAATTCGTACCATGTACGGAAAATGCCAATGATCGTTACACGGTCGACAAAAGCACCATTTTTTCACCAAAGCATCTCCATGTTATACCTTTTGAAAAAAAGTTGTATGTAAAAAAATGGATGATGGGAAGGGCAATATATGACGTCATTATGACGTAATCAGCTAATTATTACATGAAATTACAAACATCAAAGGGACAACAAGATCTTTCATTTGAGTGGTATGTCAGTGAGATAAAATAGTGTGAAAGGGTGTTGTTTTTGGCCAAAAAGCCCTTTTTGGTACAACTAACTTTTTTTGATGCTAAAATCATGGATTTGGGGTAATCATTCTGGCACCTTGTTTTAACATTCAAACCGTAATTGGTATTGAGAGTTTTTGCTTTTAAGTCAGAGAGAATGTTTCAAATCCTATGCCAAAAGAGTTTGGTAATTGATTATCGGTATCTTAAATGTTTAAACTTATTCCAGAGACAGGCAGACAAAATATTGCAACATAAGTTACAGTCGGGTGCCCATTTCAGTTACAGATTCATCACGTGGGTCGGAGAATAGTAGCCAGGACTGAGTTCAGATAGAGTGTTTAATGGTTATAAAAGAAGCTTGATGGTTCTCTTGCCAGAGAAATGGTATATCTTTTCAAAGAAGATCGCTGAGGGCGCAACTTGTCTGCGCAATTTGGGATGTAGTGTGAGACAATGTTGACTATGCTAAGGAACCGGCGGTTTCCATCATGGCTATGATACGTTCGGTCGCTCGTCATGCTCCCCAAGGGAAACCAAATACTGCAATGTCGTCGGGTTGGACTATTATCCTGGCTCACTGATAAGCCAATGGGTGGGTGACGAAAGCTGTTGCAACCAAATTGTATGTTGTCAGCCCTTCAGACTGCTCGAGATGGGCAAACCAATGCCCTGCTTTTGACGTCTAGCTTGGAGAAGTTGTTTTCCAGTGCAAATTCTGGCTTGAGCTTCTCAAAAGTAATAGTGGGGCTGTTGAGTGATACGATTGTGCACTTTGTGACTTAAGCATGAAACTTCGCATGTTGGTTCTTCATGACATGAACAAAATTTTCAGATGTGGAGACATTTCATATTTGACCTCTGGTGACCTTTGAGAGGTCAATGACCTTTACATACACTATTTTGTAACAATTATTGTTCTTGAAAACACCACTTTCCTATGACCAAAGTCTATGTCGTAGGTCTTCAGGCAATGAAAATAAAGATCAGATGCGAAAGCAACAAAATTGACCTTTAGTGACCTTCCAGAGGTCAGTGACCTTTGTATACATATTTTGTCGTTATTATGATTTACTCTTTAAACCCTAACTTTTTAAATACCAAGTCTCAATGTTAGGTGTTCATGCTATGATTTTTTTCACATGTAGGGCATTTCATATCTGACCTCTGGTGACCTTCAAGAGGTCAATAAACTATGTATGCCCTATTTACAGATATTTATAAGATTTATTATTCAAAACCCTATTTTCAGGACCCTAGTCTAAAAGTTGGCTCTCTGAAAAGAATTCAGATATGGGGACATCATAATCTGACCTTTGGTACACTTTAACAGGTCAATGAACTTTATATACCATATTTTTCGCTATTTGTTATATTTATTCGTCAAAACGCCTTGTTTTCGTGACCCAAGCCTCAATATTGTAACAGAAAGGTATTGCACCTATTATTATACAGTCATGTAATGAATGTAAAGCCACAAAAAATTTTGGTGTGACATCTGACCTCCATTTCCCTTTTTCAATTGGCAGACGCAACAACAACTTTGACCGGACAAAGAAGACTGCTGGACCTTCTTTACAATGTAATATGTACAAATGTCTAACAATAGTTACTCTTGTGTACTTTTTACACTCTGTGGTATCTAGATGGACTTGGGTCACCACATTTTCAACCTTTTTACCAAGCCCACTGGTCATTGTTAGAGCGTGATTATTGTCCAATGTACCTCTTGTATTCTGTTAATTGCGCCCCTGTCTATCCTTCAAAAAGGGAAATGGAGATCAGAGGTCATAACAGAATTGTCCTTGGGGTCTGATTTCTTGACATGCTGTAGAATAATACTTAAAATACACTTGTTTTGAACTATTAAGACTTTGGTCATGAAAAAATGACATTTGGAATATTATATATAATGATAAAAAGCGGCAAATAGGGTATGCAAAGTTTATTGACCTGTTAAAGGTCACCAGTGGTCAAATATGAATGTTCACACATATCCAAATTTTTAGACTTGGGTCATAAAAAAGTGGAAATTTGAATAGTAAATCTTATAAATATCTATAAATGAGGCATACAAAGTGCATTGACCCCTTGAAGGTCACCAGAGGTCAGATATGCAATGCCCTGCATATGAAAATGCTTTTCATAACATGAACACCTAACTTTTAGAGTTGGGTCTTGAAAAAGTTGGGTTTAAATTGTAAATCTTATAAATAACTATAAATACTGTATAGGTCATTCACCTCTGAAAGGTCATCGGAGGTCAAGTATGATTTTTTTTCACATCTGATCATTATTTACATTGCCTGAAGACCTATGACAGACTAGGTTTATAGGAAAGTGGTGTTTTCAAGAACAATTATTATAAATGGGGTATGTCAAGGTCATTGGCCTCTCAAAGGTCACCAGAGGTCAAAAATGAAATGTCTCCACATCTGAAAATGTTCTTCATGGCATGAAAATCCAACATGCGAAATGTTATGCTTTAGTCACAAAGTGCACAATTGTATCACAAATTTGACCTTAACGCCCCACAAAAACAGTAATGTTTGGCTTTTGAATTTTTTTTATGTGACCAAACATGCTAGATTGTAATCAAAACATGAATATTTTTAAAGATAATATGCAGTAAGTCCAGGTATTGTCGAAGTCACGAACATCACATTCAATTTCGACACTGAGTTCCCTTCAATCTCTTGTCACAGCTCTTGTAATGACTGTTCACTGTGAAATAGGAGTGAAATTTAACATGTCTTATATTTGTGTAAAAAATATGTACAAAAGGAAATTATTAGCTATTACAGATTGATAATCCTTTGCAAAAAGCAGTCTTGTATTTTAGTTATGGCCAGTAAACCAATTGTTTAGAACCCGCCAATTTCAGTATTCTGAAAGTTGTACTGGTTTAAAAAAAATAAAATGTAGTTTAGTGTCTTTCCTTCATACCGTTTCGGTTTGTTTTTAATTTTACATCTCAGATACACCTAATAACTTAGACCAGAAATTGCTTAATGTACATGGAATGTAAATGTACATGTAAAAAGTTTTCCAACCCCTGCCAATAGAGGGCGCCATATTTATCCCTGATAATTAAAATGCAATATTCAAATAACTGGTGCCCTTGGTGATCTAGATGGTCTTAATTAATAAACTGCAGTGATTCTACGTGGATTCAAGAAATGCACCAAGGAAATCAATTTTTGAGCACATTTTGCAGCCATGCCCCGTATAATTACACCTAGGCACTTTCGCATGTTTGATCGACTTTAGACTTGGCAGACACTTAAACCACGAGCAGACAATTGTCCTCGACGATTTTCGACACGATGAAGTCATCGTGTGTCATATGACGTCATATCACAGATGCAATTGTCTAAGCCTTATATCTTTTGAAGTACAATTGCAATCAATTAGAACGCATGGGGAGAGGAAGCTGATTCACAGAAATGTCAAAAAAAAAAGAGTCACTGGACATCTCTGGAATTTATATTCTTTTTTTTTCTTTCTTTTTTTCCCAATTGATAGCATGTCATATGGTTGTCACCCATTCGTGGATTCCCCAATTGCAAATCAAGTACTAATTACAACGTTGGGGGCGGGGGATGGATTCACAGAAATTTCCGAAAATGTGTCACATGTGTAGACCATACTACAGTAAATACATATGCGCAGATGTCATACATCGCCAAAAATAAATGATTTTGAAGTGTTTGTTTGCAGTTGGATAACACTGTATATCAATGTGTCAACATCATTGAAACAAGCATTTCATGAAGAACAAAATATTTTATACACTTAGTATATGAAAACTTGTGCAATTTTCCAAAAAAAAAATACATTTCATAAATGATGAATTGTCAATTAAAATATCCGAAAAGATACCTTTTTGATCAATTGACCTTTTTACGGAGACTCGCTTTTGTACATGTAGAGCTTCCAACCTCAGCAACAGGAACCCTAACAAAATACTTTGGACGCCCATGTTTGCCCTGAACTTTTATGATATCTTTATCTCCAGTCTCTGAACTAGAAGCAATATGACGGAGTGCAGAATTTTAAAGTTGATGTGAGTCAGATGAGCTATAAATCCGAGATTTCTTTTTTACATTTTCCTCAAATTCCATGAGTTGTTTGTTTTCTGCTTCAAGAGTTTTTCACTTGCGCTTTTCAATTTTCTGTTATGTTTTCCGCCGATATGAGGCTTAGAAGCACCAAAATGACGCTTGCAATCTACGCGATGTGCGAAAGTTACCGATTTGTTTGTGCGAAGCTTAAAGTATGCACGCTTTCCACGATGTTCACAAATCCCTTCCCTCTCATCTTGAACCAAAAAAAACAAGGCTTGAAATCGTCCTTGTAAACACTAGATCGAACAAATCTACTACTTACTCCTGTTCAACAAATACAACAAAGAGTTTCCTAACCTCACGAGGCGTTCTTAGGCCCTAACGTAGCATTATAGTAAACTTTTTGTGATAAAATAACTTATTGCTGCGAGCACAAGATCTATAACACTTGGAAATCTCTACGGAATACGTGCGCGTATGCATGAGACGTGTCCCCTGAATCCATAGCACTGTAATCAACCTGTGTTAATGTAATCAATCCCAAAGGATCCGATAGAAAGTGCTGTTTTAGAATTCAAATTTCGCGGGCGGTGCCGTAGATACGTTGTGTTCATCGCCCCATAATATCGTCATTACCCGTTATTTCCAATTGTATGAAATTAAAGGGAATGTACAACATTTGCTTTTGTTGCAATTTTCCGACATAAATTGATTTGGAGCATTTGTATGTTATAGAAAATATTGTTAAACTGACTTGTTTCACGTTTTCAGCTTGTAGATGCTGGAAAAACCAAGAAAATAATCATGTTCTTGTCGTCTGGTTCCCTGATCCCACTTAACCCTGAAAGGGTCGGGGGCGGAATCCGCCTCCCCCTCCCTCAACATTTTCCGCGATAGCCTCTAAACAGCGGCGGCGGGACGGGTTTGAAACTGGGGGGCATCACCAAAAAGGGGCACTTTCTCAGCATTTGTGTGTGTGCACATCCGTGTTGAAAGTTCGACACATGTTTTTCCCCGGACACTTGGCCTCCGTAAAATTCAAATAGTTGGGGGGGGGGGGGGGGGGGGCTGTTATCATCTTCCAACATAGGGGGCGCTCTTCAAAAACGATGATTATATGCTAACTATGCAAACGTGCCCATTTTCAGGGCGTATTTATGGGTTTTGGAGCTTGGTTTTCATATTCCTCGTTTATATCACAACTATCTTTACCATTATTGGGAAATGGTCACTTCTAAGAAAAAGTAAGATATTTTAAAGCATTTGTTTTATATCTGGAGGGGACACAAATGCCCCCCAGGCCCCCCCCCCCGGTTCCGCCGCCCCTGCCTCTAAAAAATGTTTTTTTCGCGACCCGAGCAGTTATGACTTTTAAGCTTCGAGCTTTGCGCATCTTTTGATACCAAAAACATAAAATTCCGACCACGGGTTGCCGCGTAGAGGTTTTAGTATCACTTAACGTGAAAATGCTTAAACTACTCAATTATAAACGTTATATTGTAAAAATCTGCTTAGTTAATTAGCAATTACATGATTAAGATGGGTGTCAGTTCGTGAAAACCAAAATTGACGCGTTTTGGGAGAGTGCGCGCACACACTGCGCATGCGTGCGCGCACTCTCCAAAAACACGTCAATTTTCGTTTTCTCGAACATACACTCCCTACCGCTATTGCATGCGCGCACTCTCCAAAAGCACGAAAATTTTGGTTTTTACGAACTGACACCCTGTGCAGGGTCACTGCGTGGTAACCGAATTGACCAATTTAGTGAAAATTCATTGGCAAAAATGTTTTTATTATAGATGATTTCAGCAATTTTAACTTCGTCATGTTAAACTTCATGATACAAACTGCTAACATGTGCAAAAAAAGAAAATTTGAATTTTTTTATTTTTTTATACACGTGTAATGCAGAGGGTGTCAGTTCGTGGTGTCGGTGACGATATGGCGTTTACTTTCGTGACAAATGCAGGTGACGTAAAACTATGTCATTTGATATGTCTTGACTTATGTGAAATTTAAATAAAAAATAGAAAAGTCTGATTATCAACCTTTCTCGGTATAATTATTTAGATATTTCAATAAATGCATTCTTTAGGAATCTATAAGTGTAATTAAACATGTTACTTACATGTTGCTTGCGGTCTGATGACGTTAAAAAAGTGCACAGTGAATATAACTAATTTAAAACATTTAATGTTAAGTGAACAGATTTTCAAACACTTCCGGTTTGACGAAGTCACAGCGGTAGAATGCTCATTGCAATGCAGCGTAAGGCAGCTGACATCTTAACTTTGCCAAAAGAAAAAAAAATTGTGATCCTGTTCATAAACTTGAATTTTTCGTCGGGGGTGATGTAAATTCAATATTAGATGTTGCCCTTCCATCTGATGAATAGTTTCAATGTGGTACCCGCTGCTAGAGCAGATTCGAACCAGCCAACCGATCCTGCAAGCTCGGTGGTCGAATGGTAAGACTGTGTACTGGAAAGCAGGAGGTGGTAGGCTCGAGTCCCACCCAAGTGATCTATTTCTAACTTTCACTCGGGAGATAACACAACGAAGAAACATTGTTAATTCGTCGAGGAAAGAGAACTCACTTCCAGGGGACAACAATGGTGCTTTTGAGAGGTAGAAACGCTAGTATTTTAAAACAGGGATCTGGGAATTATGCGTCACAGCAAACAATAGCGTCTACGCGACGTTAGAGCCCAAAAATGGGCAGGCTTCAGGCTTCCAGGGACTTGCTCGACAAGCCGTATCATTTTTTTTCCAACAACGGACATGTATAACAAGTGATTATAATTAGCAGGCTTCGAGAATCTCGCTGCCAAACACTTCCTGCTCTCTCACCCTGGTATGGGATTATACACTTTTAATAACAATTAGGTAGCGACACTTAAACGATGTAACTGGGGACGCTATCAATTGATTGCAAAGTTATTCACCCCAAATTAGGCACCGTTTCAAATGATTGGTAAAGATTGCAACTGTGGTTTAGACCTATCTGTAACTTATCGGGTTAGAAAGACTATTAAAATGTGAGAACATTTCATCAATGTAGATAGGGACGCCATTTTCAGATCGCGTACACTAATCCTTCCCGTAAAACACAAATCTAAAACGATGGAAAATTATGTTGCGGTATATATACCGTCAAAATAGCCCACGTATGCCCCGTAAAAGGGGTCCTCATAATATTATCATATACCACCACTTCATACACCCTCTATGATAATACAATCACTTCCTAGATAATCAAAAGAAAGAGATTTTAATATGTACTGTTACTTACCACACGAGATATAATCCTCACACATCGAAACAATCAGCAACTATCCACACACGCACACACACGCCAAAAAATCTGAAATGGCGCTTCTGGGGAGCAGAAATTTAATGCTAATAAGTTTGCACGGCCAGCTAGCCGCATTATTTACTTCTTTTCTGCAACGGACATTATAGTCAATGATTATAATGAGCAGGCGTTACTTATTAACCAACCTGAGCTGGTTCCCATGGTTTTGCTGCCAAACACTACCTGCATCATGAAAAGCGGCAGGCTACCAGCTATCTGGCCATCTGCTACCTGCATCTTTTGCTTGTTTTGTATGCAGCAGACATGTATAATCAATGAATTAATATAAGCAGGCCTCAGGTAAAACACAAATCTAAAATGTTGGAAAATTATGTTGAGCTATATTAGCCGTACACTAATCCTTCCCGTAAAACACAAATCTAAAACGATGGAAAATTATGTTGCGGTATATATACCTTCAAAATAGCCCACATATGCCCCGTAAAAGGGGTCCTCATAATATTATCATCTATACCACCACTTCATACACCCTCTATGATAATACAATCACTTCCTAGATAATCAAAAGAAAGAGATTTTAATATGTACTGTTACTTACCACACGAGATATAATCCTCACACATCGAAACAATCAGCAACTATCCACACATGCACACACACGCCAAAAATCTGAAATGGCGCTTCTGGGAAGCAGACATTTAATGCTAATAAGTTTGCACAGCCAGCTAGCCGCATTATTTACTTTTTTTCTGCAACAGACGTTATAGTCAATGATTATAATGAGCAGGCGTCACTTATTAACCAACCGGAGTTGGTTCCCATGGTATCGAGCAGCAAACACTCATTACAAACAGTTTGTACACGGCGAGTCGCAACATGAACAGCAGTGTTAAACTTTATTAAGTCAGTTACTGATGACGTGAAGTGCGTGTGGAACGGTTTTTGTCGCAGCAATTGCGTTTATCCCTTGCATGTGTGTATACGCCGTGTGTGTCAGTACAAGTCTACCATAGCCTGATCGCGCGGGCGCGCGCGCGTTGAGTTGTTACTTTGTAACAACACAGTGGTGTAGCAAAATGATGTTCGCCGTATTTTGTGGCGGCCAAAGGACTGTTGAGTAAACAAATTTGTTTGGTCCTTGGTACGGGGTATTAGTTTTACCAACTGCATTGAATGACGGATCAAAATGAAGCTTACAAAATCCTCTTTACAGTGCCAAGTGTGCATTTATTACTCGAAGTAACGGCGCGTCATGAATCCTGGAACTTTCAGTGCAGTACGCACACTGCGGTAGCCCGCCGGTCACCGTCACTGTCAATTGCGTGCAAATCTCCGTTGCTCATTCTGCTGTTAGTCAAGTAGGGAAATGTACCAGGTACGGATGTTTAGTTATTCATTTTGTAAAACTTTGCCTCCAGAATGTTTAAGTAATATATCTTCTAGTTTAAACTCGGTGTGCATTAATCTGAAAGTATTGGAAACGGCCGTGAGGCCGTCTTTTTCTTTGCTTTGTGTAGAATCGCTATGGAGTAGAGCGCGTCGTGTTCATGCCACTACAAGTACACGCGCGTGGTCGTCTAAGATGCGACTGAACTGTTTGTAATGTACCTGTTCACCTCATTATTGGACTAGCTGCATCTTGAAGCTATGAAACATTTTGAAGCTTCATCTTTGCATGCTAAAAACAAAACTTGCTTAATAATTCATAGGAATAGTCTGGTGCCTGGCTGTGGTTAAAAGTAGTGTTTAATTGTGTATGCGGTGTCTGGGGTAAAACATTACCAAGACGTATGGCGTTTATTTTTGTGGCAAGCACAGGGTGATAACTAGGGCGTGGAACTATTTGTTTTGATTTGGTCTCGTTCAGTTCTGATATGCAAAAAAAAAAGCAGAAAAAGTATGAAATTTCAATCTTAGGGAGCGTCTCAAAAGTCGGAACGGTCGGAACGTTCCGTTGGGCACACTGGCCGTTGGAACGATCCAATGGAACGCCGGGCGTTCCGCTGGGCACAGCTGTCGTTCCGTTGGACCGTTCTGTCTGACCGTTCCATCCTTTTCCTGGCATATGTGCCCGGCGGAAAGTTCAATCGAAACGGTCCGCCGGAACGGTCTGCTAGAGGAAATATACTCACCGAAATGCAGATATGACGGTTTCCAACTAAGCGACCTGGTAGTCGTCAACATCGGTTATCATGCATCTTTTGTGTGGGTGTGCGCGTGTACGTGTTTGTCTACATATGGTATACCTACGTACATGTCCGACATGCTACGTATACAGCTGGGACGCGCAGTGTAAATGCCTGTACATGTACTGTTCACGCGCGCGTACATGTATGTCCTTCCCACGAAAATGACTGAAAAGGGCTCCAGTTGCAGTCGCGCGCGAATCTTGCGGTTACTGAAAATAAATATACTGAAAGAAAATATTTTAAGATGGGCGCATGATACCCAATTACAGATATCCCATCTGGACCGTTCGCGTTCCCAGCGGAACGTTCTGACGGGCACATGTGCCCAGCGGAACGGTTCAAAGGACCGTTCCACTGGAACGGTGGAACGGTCCAACGGTACGCTCGCCGTTCCGACAGGAACACAGACCGTTCCAACGGAACGCTGGAACGGTCCGATGGAACGGTCCAACGGAACGTTCCCGTTCCCACTTTTGAGACGCTCCCTTATTTAGAAGCAACAGTCGTTGGGAACTGATAAGTCTACCTAAACATGTTAAACATGTTACTTTCGGTCTGATGATGTCATGAAAGGTGCATAATGAATAATTTAGTTTAAACTGGTTAATTACAGTTTAACGATAAAGTGAACATTTTTCAAAAATATAACAAAAAACATCACGAGCGTATAGGTGAATATATATTAATGACACCTAAGCTCAGGTTGATGACGTCACAGCAGTAGGGTGTCCATTGCCAGTAATTTAGCTGACATCATGGGCGTCAATCGATGGGGGACGGGGGGCCATGTCAACCCCTCCCCTCATCCCACCCCCACCCCACTTTTAAAGTTGGGACTATATCTTTTGGTCCGTCCCTCCCCTACTTTTTTTCGTCCCCGAATAAGGCATTTAGCCTATATTTGATGCTATATCTCTGGATAGCTGATTCAATGACTCCAAACTCTAAAGTGATATTCAAATGATGATCTTTTAAATTTGTTAAAATGGTCAAAAATTGCATCAGATCGCACCACAGAGCATCTAGAATCCGAAATTTTGAGGGGCCCGTCAGCGGGCCCTGAACCCCACGCCGTGAGGGCTTCGCTCTCGTATTACTTCTGATCAAGATATGTCCCCCCCCCCCCCTTTGGAATACATTTTAACAGAAAACGAATGTTTCCAAGAAGTATTCTGGTGTACTGAGCACAGACGCAAGCGCTCACTGCTATTATATCTCGCTGCTTTATCTAGATGGCTCTTGCTATTCGTGTACACAGCCGTTTGGGTGTGGTCTAACGTTGTTCTGATTGGTCAAAATATACCACCTGACGTCGCTATAATTATGATATGACGTCACATACATAGTTCTTGGCAACGACAAGTATAGTCCGGTTCCTATTCCTGACAATTCTCCGACCCATGGTGTCTATAATGTAGGTCTGAAAGCCGCCACCGGGCTAAAAAATAAACATGATGGTTTCTTTTCAAAGCTCGGCTTTGTTTTCAATTTGGGTTTTTTTATAAAAGCTTTCAATACCGCGATCAAGTTTTTAAAAGCATTTACTACAAATATATATTAGTTTGATATTTCTGGAAGAAAACATTGACTCGTGTTGAGCTGGCATCTTCAACATAGCAGGTGAAGCAGATGGGTTTTTTTTAAGTTGTGACAAAACTATTTTTCCCCTTGAGTGTTTACATCTCTTTTTGAGTCTGAATTCGTATTAACATATGAACACCGTCGACCTTTGGAATATAGTCAAATATTTGCTCCAATTGTATAGCATGAGGTTTTCCGGATTTCATTGAGGCGTTTCTGGACAAAGGCATTATGGTTTTCCCAGAGATGTAACTCATGAAAACTCCAGCTTTGGACAAATTAAACCACTGGTTTTCGATTTGATTTCTAACTCAGGATATGTGGTTTCATATACAGCTCATAGATCGATGACGTTATCTATTCTTAACTTTAACATTCATCTCTACAATTCTAATCTTATCAGATAAAAACTGTTTGCTATGTGTTTTTTTTTACCAAGTTTACCTTTTTAAATAAGTCAATGAGCATATCAGTTTGCGGATTTTTTTTGACAATAATAAGCTATTTAGTTTTACATTCTTAGGCCCTATCTTTTTGTTTTCAAACTTTTTTTTCAGAGGAGCAATTTTTTTCTGGTTTTTGTTTGTTTTCCTTTTCTTCACAATTGTAAATTCTTATCTGTTTAATTAATAATACTATTTTTCATATGCATTACCAGTTTTATTTGATAAGGGTATAAATGTGTGCTTTGGAGGTTTAAATCACTCTGTTTAAGACCGCTTGAAGACCGCGTGCATTGACGTCTGGGTGCTGATCAGCACCCAGACTCCAAGCGGTCTTTAAGCTTTGGTCCATTATTTGCAGCCATCCGAAAAATATTGTTGAAAACATACTTGGTTAAAAGATAGTAAGGGAACTAAATGACATCATTTTGGCCTCTTTGTCTGTTGTATCTAGCCCATATGTCTTTTCCCGAGTCTAATGGCGGCCATTTAAAAAACAAATTAAAAAATGGCGGTCATCTTGAAAAATAGCCCGGTCGCGATCGGGTGGCCATTTTGAAGGTTAAAAAAGGCCTATCCTTTTTTTTTTAAAGGCAGGACGTGCGCGTGCGACGCTAAACATGTATTTAAGCATGCTGTGGGCCATGAACTTGTTTGTAAAAAAAAATATGGGTGGAAGCCGTGCACAGGACTGTGAGCTTGTAGTTCCGTTCAATTTGGATGAAATTGGGGCCCTTAAAGCGCTTTATTTTGCAATGGAGTGTATAGGCATCGTTTTTAAACATGGCGATGGGCTTCCGGACTATTTTCAGGGGTGATCATCTTCGGATGGAAATTTCTCCTAAAAGTCATCAGTTAACCAAAGACAATGAAAGATGATGAAAAAAGCTGTAATATGATGTGTGTCTCGAACACCTTGGAGAGTTGTGAGTATTTTTCCCGAATTTCTGAAGTGTGAGCATTTACCATTGGGGTCTATGGAAGTTTATTTACTGGTCTGCTACCTTCATGCCGTGACCTGTACTGTAATGAACAAGAGAGGGCGCTATTGCACAGACAGTCGTCATTCAGCTAGTACAAACGTCAACAAACACTTCCTGTCTGTTTGTCTGGTCTGACGTACTAGGTTTGAGACGGAAATTCGATGTTATTTGGACATGAACCGTACTACTAGGTAAGATATTGCCCATAAAATAACAACCTCATCAATAGTTCGTGTTCTGGATATTGGGTCATTTTCATACATTGTATGTTCGTGGGTGTTCTTTTTTTTGTTTTGTTTTTTCGACTGAGTCATGACTGTCTGTTCCTGCTGTATGCTGAGACTCAGTCATGTCAGTAACTAGCGGCAATTTACATGTCATGCATGTAGGCCTAGTAGTAGTATATTTACGCAGTGGCTACTTCTAGAATTAGAACTTGGCTTCTCTCCATCAGCTGACGGAGAGAAGCCTTCTACATGTAGTTTGTCATGTTTGTAATTCTAGAAGTACGCAGTGGCTATTGAGTATTGCTACAGTAGTCGACCGTCTGGTTCCCTGACCTGACAATATTCAACGCCGGAATCTTTGGCTCTTGGAACCAGACTAGAATCAATGGATTAATGGAAACTTCTTTTCCCTTTTATTAATAATGATCATCCAAATTCCAATATTTGTCCAAAGCTACGGAGGAGAAGAAAATAAAATCTTCTTCAAACAAAAGTAGGCCTACAATTTGATTTAAAACATAAAAAAATAAAATAGACTCTGTATTGTGTACACGAACATGTACATGCATGACATGTCATGCATGTATAGCCTTTAACATGTTTTTAGCCGGCTAGAGAATAGCCGGCTTTCAATGATATTAATAAGCCGGATAGATTGTACAGTGCCCTGACGTGTATACGAGTAGGCCTACATGTACATTATCAAAGGTATTTACCACCATGGTTTGTGCAACACCTGCCAGCATGGTCATGAAGGTTCAATTCCCAACTGACAACATTAGATTTTGTTTTTAATCCCAAGATATTTATATTCTTTTATTGTTTTAAATTGACGCCAACATTTAATTACAGATTATTTCTTTTTCCGATTCATAGCTCTAGCTTGAAGCTTACTGGGAAAAATATTTTAAAAAGAAGGGGGAAAAAAGAGCATCCATTGCCAGACGTATGTATACATTTTGCAACGCAATAGTTCCAGCACTTAGGCCTATCATCCTACAGGTTGTGCTTCAAATGTGTTCACCTTTGTTATGAATTTTATTATTTGGGTTTTTTTCTTATTATCAGGTGACTGAGAAATGGCACAATACGTGTACGTGTACTAGACGCTTGTCTCGTCAAGATTTGCATGAACTTTGCATATTACCATGGCAACAGCCGGCAAGCCTGCTTTGACTGCAGAGCCGCTGTTGGACGTCAGCCAGTATGAGAAGATGGGGCCAGGGGGCTTGGAGACAAAGCACAAAATTCTGTTGGGTGCAGGTTTGTCATTCATAATATTCTATATTTTTGCACTAGTCATATTTGACGACTGGCTAGGGTAAAAGGGGGAGCATTCGACCACATACATGTACGGAAAACTGGCACTACCTAATGTAAATGAGGAAGGTGAGGTCTTAACTACATTGGACATGTACATGTAGGACAGGGTCATGCACTTGCTTAGTTTGCAGTCTAGCGTCAATCATAGTTTGACCTAGCCGTAATATTACATTTATGGCCACGCACTGGAGTATATACTCTGTGCTGTAGGCCTAACAAATGTGGGCAATATCAGCAGTGCATGGCCATAGAATAGGGCTATTAGGAAGTTGTGACAAGATCATGTACTTGCTATGTGTGCAGTCTAGAGTCAATCATAGTTGGACCTATCCCTAATATTGCATTCATGGTCATGCACTCTGTCCTCCTGATTTAAAAACCACAGGTGTGTAGAAAAAGACACACCTGGATTTCTAGGCGTGTGATTTGTCTAGGCGTGTTATTTTCCTAGGCGTGTGATTTTCTAGGTGTGCGATTGTTCTAGGTGTGTGATTCTGTGGTCCAAACTGGTAGTAAACAATCTGGTCCTTTCTTTATAATGTTCATCTTGATTCCATTTCAAGAGCTCACAGAAGTATAATCATGCCGTAAATGTATGCCGAGGTGTGTGGTACAGAGGGATTCAGGCGTGCGATTATTGGCACTTCTTGGGAAGCTTTTAGGTGTCCGATGGCATGGGGGTGCGATCGCACGCCTCAAATCAGAAGGACTGCACTGGAGTAGACAAATGTGAGCGCTATCAGTTAGTTAACAGCAGTGCTTGGCCATGGAGTAGGGCTAAGTCAGACGCAAGATTTTTGCGATGTACTGATCCGTCAGACTCTTCCTCGGGTCGAATATGCCCCCACTAACTGGTAACTGAGAGAGTGAGATCATTAACTGTAAGTAACGTGACCACAAACTTACTGTGTTTGCAGCATATATTCAACCCTAGTCAGACCCAAGGTTTGTATTTATAGAGGCACTATAGGTCCTGAAATCCCTGAAAATGTCATGTTTTGGATGTTTACTTTATTTCAAACATGTGGTTGAAAGGAAAACAACCTAATGTCTTACCGTTCCCGAGAAAAGAAAAAAAAAACGGTTGTTTACATCGGACACGACGGAGTATGAATACGTTTTTTGTGTCGTTCTCATACTGTGTACGATACATGTATGTGTATCTCAGGGAACAGCGGTGACCTATCACCAATGTAAAAAAAAAAATGGTTTCTTCAACGTCCGCAAAAGGCAAACACTTACACGTACGAATGAAATCACAACTAGCATCCAAACGGCTCGAATTTATGGGGTTGCAAAAGTGGACCCCGAAATTCCTTCTCGCACGCATAATACTGGAATAACCCCAAAACACCCAGTTTTTAAAGGATAGTTGTATGGATATCCTGGTTATAAATGTTCTTTCCGATTAACATGATCTCATTCAAAGCACGTTATTTAGCAAAATTGGGCTGTTCCAAGACCTAGTGTCCCTTTAATAGCGAGTGGTCAAATTCAAGTCCATTTTTAATGTCTCCTTCAATCCTTAAATCCAGGTGTGCTTGCGAATGAGGCAGAGTCATCATCCTCAACATCAGGTGCAGACCCCCAAAGACATAGGAGAAAGAAGAATCGTCCAGTCCAGTATCGCCCCACGGACAACTTGGTTGTGACAACACAGAGCGCTCTTACTGTAAACCCAAACCGTGGTAGGTCATTCAAAAGTCAAGTTCTTTCTGAATTATAGAATCCATGCTTGATGATCACTGTCATTTCAAGCATGATGAGGCCCCCTTTAATCGAGAAACTATTGCGTAAACTATATTGTGCAAAGCTACTGCCCCATAATGGATTATCTGAACAAAAGCTAGCGCAATACTTTCGCCATTGAAGGGGCCTTCGTGATAGAAATGATGTTGTGCCCGGACTGGTGTATAGTTGACCATAGTTCAACTAATTTCAATTGAATGGCACACACACACCATAGCCACAGGCTGGACTCGAACCCACAACCTGCAGAATTACCCGCAGACCACGAATTCAATGCTCTAGGCCACGGTACTCCACACAATTGGTTACCAATAGACTGATACAGTAAGCCCCCCCCCCCCCCCATGGTGTTCTGACCAATCACAGCCGTGATTTATGTGCGACACCCATGCATAAAAGTCTGACATGCGTGCACGCACGTATTATGTGCATGGCTGAAACGTGCAGTGTGGCATTGGAGAGGAGCATGTGATAATTGCCCACGTGCGCACATTGGGCGGGGCTTACTGGACGGGTCTATTTCTGCGCCCATCATGAAGTGCAACAGGCCGGGGGAGCCAAGGCTTTTGACCATCATTTGACTAAAGGCATTCGCGCAATGCTGTGAGTGAAGGTATTTGTGATGTCGCAAATCAACCACTAGGCGACTAATGGTCCTCCAAACTTGCTCATTGTTTAACTGTGCTCATTATACCTCACACATACATACGACTTTGAGCCAAGCATGCTTCGTCCGTTGGTCAGTATTTCTGTGCATCAGGAAACTACTGGACCCATAGCAAGCATGATTATAACCGAGCCTTAGTTGTCACATCACAATTATAATCACAAGACAATCCCAAATCAAATCACAAGTCAAATCACAATTCAGTTCACAATTAACAAGGAATGAACCATGACAAAAGAGGTGTACTGTTACCGCTTATTTGAATAGCTTTTTTTCAAAATAGAGACTGGATGTAATTAGACCATCAGCCTCGGTCCAAAATTTTCGCCACTGGTTTCAAATGAGGGGAATAATGATTTTTGGCAAGGTATACACCTTCGGAATTGGAAAATATTTGATAGCATTGCAACAGTGGCAGCTTTTTGGGTGTTATCACCCTTTTTTCAAAATGTCCATCAAAATGCTTGTTACCACTCTAGGGGCGGTATACCTTGCGCATGCTCATTATAATCATTTATACGGCCCCGATTTGATACTGACCAAACCCCCAGGCTGATGCCTAAATTAAGTTATGACGGCTTGTTACTGGCTCAATACATGTGGTAATTACTGTCAGGTATGTAATTGAGTCCATGACACAAACCTTCAAGTTCAAGTCCCTGCAATACAATCACAAGTCCTCCAGTCCCAATTCAACTCACAAGCTACTAAAATGAGCTTCGAAAAAAGGCATTCCTTTGTTTCTGTTCATCCACTTTACTTGTGACTTAAGACTTGTGATGTACTTGTGACTGGATTTGTGAGTGGACTCAACTGCATCCCTGTTTACATGAACTAGTTCCTAGCCAGTCATAGTGGACCGAAGGCTGTCCCAAATATACCAAATACTTGAATACTCGATCAATAACCGAATATTGGAATACATGTAGCTTTCGCCGATTTGAATTATAAAAAACAAAACAAACTACTCAAATATACATGTACACATACAGATGTGATGTTATTTTATCATGAAGTTGCGGCGCTTTATTGTCAGGTGTCACTTTTTGTCAACCGTCTTGGTAACTTTTTTGGTGATGCTGCTCATCGTTCACATCCTTTTAGGAGGTTAAAGCCTTTAAATAGTAATAAAATACTTACTACAAAACAATCATGTGATCGACTATATCGCTTGCCACAAGCAACTTTTAACTGGCCCGCTCTTCGTGCAGGCTTTTACCGCCACTTCATGCAGTTGCAGCTGGCACTTTCGAATACCCGAATATTCAGTCAAGCGTTGTTTTGAGTAATCGAATCATGGTTTCTTTTCAAAAATGGACAGCTCTAGTGGATCTCCCAGACTCGATGAACATGTACATATGTACATGTACATGTACATGTACATGTACCAAAACTATCATAAGGGTAGTTATGAATTCCTGTGGATATACATACATTGTCATGAAATGGATTGAGTTGAATTTAAACAAATAAATTTGACTAGCATTCGTGTTCATAATCAACATACGTGTAAGTGCACTATGAAAGTTTGGCAGTACTTCCGTGGAAAATGGACTTTTCTTGAAATTTTTTGTTCATCTCTTTGTTAATATATTATTATTTTTTTTTACTCCAGACTCAACAGAGTTTCCCGCAACCCTCTCAAGTACATCATCCAATGATAGAGTGTCACCCACTGGTCCACCAAGACAGCTGGAATTAGAAGGGGTCAAGGGTCAGGAGTCACAAGCAATATTGCCCTCTGGTGATCATCCTGAAGCGCCGCCAGTCAACACGATAGGCATTGCTGACGTCCACAGAACCATAGCCAGACAGCTAGAGCAAGCCTCTGCTATTGCAGGTAAATTTCTGAACGCAGCACATGTCAAACTGCATTATATTGTACTCCCTGAAAATCCCAAAATCCGCTTTGCAAAATGGAGCATATTGCAGGATGCGGCTACAATGGCAAAAAAATGTGTGGCTGACTCTGTCAAGTTTCTCTCTTGCTGTTCTCATTTTGTGGCTTTCTACTTTTTACCTATTTGTTACTGTAAGATAACAACATACAAAGCTTACAGACAGAAACAGAGAAGAAACTTTTCAGATTTTAATTTGAAATCATATTTTTTTTACTTTTTCAATGAAATTTCAATTGAAGATTTTTTAACGATCCCACAAAAATAATTATTTAAAGATTTGTCCATTTTTTTTTTTTGCATTATAATTTCCAAAAAAAGCCAATGAAAAGTCGATGAAAACGGCACGAAAAAATTTGCACCAGTGTAAAACACCTAGACCAACGCTGATCAGATCCTTTTCTGGCTGGAAAAAATGTGTAAAATACTGACCTATGACATGGAAAAAAATTCACTGGGTCCCACGTTGATGCTGCGCAATGCTGTGGCAGCTCCTATCTTAGGTCCAATTTCAGGTTTTTTTTGCCAAGGCCAGTTTCATCTCTGCAGAAAGTGCAACTCCCTTCATGAAAGAACGTTACAAGATATTGTTTTTTTATCTCATATTTTTTGTAATGCAGTTTTTCGCAAAAAATGTTCATGGTGATAATGTGATGCAATTGCATGTACCAAAAATGAAAGCAGTTTGATGTCATTTATAATGATTATTATGTCAATGGCAAATTTAAAATCTCATTAAAAACAAGGACAGGAAATAATGTCGCATAAATTGGACTTTAAATTTTAATACACAATATTAAACTCATGTGTTGTCTTATTTTGCAGACAGTGAACACCAGCCCTGCCCCTTTTGCTCCTACATCTTCAGTAGTGTTGGGTTTCTTGTGGGGCATCTTAAATACAGACATGGAATCAATTTGGAGATGCAGATCGGCATGCCCACTGAAACCAAAGAATTTGCCCATGAAACTCCACACAAACCTGCCACCAGCAACAGTCAGCAGGAACCAAGCACCAACCCACTTTCTGTACTGGACTCCTGTCCTGATGAGTCCAACTGCATGGACATACAAACAGAGAATGGTGAAACCCAGATTCGATCCTCAAATGGAGATAGTGTTAATACAGCAACACACATCAACCAATCAAATCAAACTGAGGTCAATAGGACAGGGGTGGAAGGTCAGATGATAGAATGCGCGAAGGAGTTGATGCTTCAGAGGATGGGTCAACTCATGGGGCCAAAGATGAACCAGGTCGCAGCTGACAGCCAGCCCAGTCAGTCCATCATCATCTGTGACATGTGCACACGCGCTTTTACCAATCTGGATGACCTGCAGGAACACCAACGCATCCACAATGTGGCCAAGACCTATGAGTGCCAGTTTTGCCAGAAGCTGTTCCAGAACCACAGCAGCCTGAAGAAGCACACCAAGCTACATACAGACGGGAAAATCTACGCCTGCAACTACTGCGACAAGTCCTTCGCTGCTGCTGCCTACCTCAAGACCCACCTGCGGGTTCACACCAAGCAGAAGCCTTTTGTCTGCAAGCACTGCGGGAAGGCCTTCGCTGCCAGCGGCACCCTCATCAGCCACGAGAGGATTCATATCAACGATAAGCCTTACGGCTGTGAGGTTTGTGGGAAGCGCTTCCGGCAGGGCAGCCACCTGAACAGGCATAAGGTCATTCACACAAACTTGAAACCCCATGTGTGCGGTAAGTGCAATAGAGCGTTTGCTGATGTCGCCAACCTCCGTCGCCATGAGCGGATCCACAGCCAGGAGAATCCAAACGTCTGCGGGGAGTGCGGCAAGAGTTTCATCAACCTGAGCAGCCTCAAGAAGCACGAGCGACTTCACACCAATGAGAAGCCCTATATCTGCAGACACTGCAGCAAGCCATTTGCCTCCAGCGGGAATCTCATCAGCCATGAGCGTACCCACACCAACGAGCGTCCGTATATCTGCAAGGAGTGTGGCAAAGCTTTTACTCAGAGCAGCCACCTCAAGGCTCACATGGGAACCCACTCCACTGACATTTTGTACGTCTGCAAGGACTGCGGCCGGGGTTTTACCCAGCGCAGCACCCTTTGTGTCCACGAACGCATCCACTTAAATAAGAGGCCCTACGTATGCAAAGTTTGCAACAGGGCCTTCACTCAGAGTGGAACCCTGAAATCACACATCCGCACCCACACTAAGGAGAAAGCCCACATCTGCAAAGTCTGTGGCAGGGCCTTCTCTGCCAGAGGAAATCTAAGAAGCCATGAGCTCATCCACACGAACGAGAAACCTTTTAAGTGTGGTGCATGCCCTAAAGCTTTCAAGCAGGGAAGCACGCTGCGAACTCACGAGCGAACTCACACAAATGAAAAACCCTATGTGTGCCATGCTTGTGGGAAAACGTTTGCAGATAGGGGCAACCTTAGATCCCACACATTGAGAATTCACTCCAAGAGCACCGACTTAGATCTGGGAGTTTTGCAATCAGATGACCAGCTTACTGATGCGGTGCTGACACAACAAAATCCCAACACAGAGGAGTTGTATCCAGTAAATGAGTTTAATGATCTCAGAACAGACGCTGGTGACAGCTCTCAGTCACCTACTGGAATCAAGATCAAGAAAACCGTGGATGGATTGACCTCAATGTTAAGATTCAATAAGGAAGGGAACATTGCTGTAGATGACTCAGTTCACCACAAATCAAAAGTGAAATCTACCCCCACTGATGATCAGACTGACGAAACTCTCACAAATGTACTAGAAACAGCATCACAAAACGAACAAGTTGCCAACAATCTAGATGATAAGATGTCAAAATCCTCCACAATCAAATCTGACGAGTCCTTAAATTCCTTGAGGATTAATCCAAGGGGAGCGTTATACAGCCATTTGCCAGATAGTCAGCCTCATCAGAGCTTCACCGACAGTGCCCTTGATCTGTCAAGTGGGCAGGAAAGCTTGAAACAAGCAGGAGAAGCCATTCCGGATGGTTTGAACGTTAACAAACACAACATTCAAACCTTTGAAGAGAGAACACGCAGTCAGGACAGAGGTGCTGTTCACTTGCCCCAGTCACATCATCAGCCTGAACCTGTTGGAGAAACTGATCAAGTACCAACACTCAGTGATGATGATTTTACGTTTGATGAGGATGATGATGATGATCTTGAGAGTCTGCCAATAGCAAGTGATCGGAACAACTCAGACTCTGAACTACTTCCTTATGAAGAAGAGCATACGGCTAATACAAACCTCCAAGACAGTTGTACAATGGAATTTGTAGTTGACAATCGTCTAAGAAACAGAACTTCCATGACCAAACAGCTTGTGATAGGCAGGCAAAGCCATGTGGAAGACCTAGAGATTTCAAGAATTATTCCACTGAACTGATTGGGCCAAGTACATATGTACATGTGTCTTCAGTTAACGGTTTGGAACTATTTCATTTCCTTTGTGTGCCCCGTTTATTTTGTGAGTGCCATTTAGAAATGAATTGGTACATATCCAGTAAGGTATACACTTCGTTCATCAACAAGTTTGCGCAAATAGCTTCGCTAAATTCCCTTGATAGAGGAATTTTAATTACCTTTACTCTTTTGAATGATTTGGCAGAATACAGATTTAGTTATCCTCCCTGTGAAGTGTAATTGTTGAAGTGCATGTAAACACAGCTCCTTTAATTGAAGCAAGTGCTGGAGGGTGCAATAAATAAGCAACGTTAATGAATTTTAAAAAAAAAGTTGGTGCATTAACATCGCACTTGTATAACATGCAGTTTTGTGTAATGAGGGCATGTACATGTACAGTACATTGACAAATCCATGTGATCATTGCACACTTACCAGGTCTCCTTCAATATAACGAAAGGATTGAGCCAACTATGATATACATGTACAATGTGCATGTTGTGCAAAGCTGCTGCCCAATGATGCATAAAGTTAATGTAATCCTTTCACATTTAAAGCGAGTAAAATGGTCGAGAATATGTACTAGATTCCCTTTTACACAGGGCTGCGACCTTTCGGCCTCCCTGGTACTTGGGTGACCATAAAACTGGCCAGGTCGCCGTTGGAGGCTCAAAGGAGGCCGAATGGTTGCCATGGTCGTTCGAAGGTGGTACACAGGATGTAAATTTTTGAACATGTTCATAACAGTCGCACAAAGGTTGCGAGGAGGTTGGTTGCTTAAAAGTGGCTCAAATGAGGCAGGAGGCACAAGCATTGCCGTGGTTGCAGAATGGATGCAAAATGCTCGGCCAATGGTCACCACGTAATACATCCGTTCTGTTGCAAATTTTACCGTCAATCTGGGCGATGCTTGTGCCTCCTTTGCCCGCTGAATAGCGTTCATTGAACGATGACTGTGGCGACCGCTGTGCCTCCATTCGGCGACCACGGCAACCCTTGAGCCACCATGGCCGTAGGTTGCACAGGGGAAGCACAGGGGAGGCAGAGAAGTGGTTCAGTGGACGCACAGGTCGCTCGTAGCTCAACATGAAAATGCCCGAAAATTGCAGGGTTTTTAGTTCAAGGGAGGCACAAGGATCGCTGGAGCAGTTACATAGAAACAGGATTTTCAGGGATTAGGCGACCATTGAGCGTCCTGACCATTTGTTTGGTCGCTCATGAGGTGGTGAAAAGGTCACAGCCCTGTGTAAAGGGGGCCTTAATACTGAAATGCGTGAAAGATCCTATAATCAACACGTGTGGGTTGATGAGACCTATATCATTTGTTTCTGTTGTGTGTAATTCATGACATGCCTTTCTAGTTATTTGTCATTATTTTGATGAAACATAACAATAGAAATGTTCAACTCTGAGAAACAATGACACTATTGATGTATACCTGAAGTTACACTGAAAGGAAAATTGATGTATTTACATGTATTGTCTCATCTATTTGTTTCCATTGTTGTTGATGTTTTTTTCTCGGAAAGAAAAACGAACTAGAAACTCAAAGCACATTACTCTGAACTTTGAATCTTCAAATACTGTCTTTCCTTATGCCCAAACTCTTCCGGTTCGTGTATGCAAAGGCTTCAATTCAGTTCAGTAGACATTTATTTTGAACTCTGATCCAGTAAACCAAGGTCAATAGTATAAAGTGTAATACAGTGATATTTAAGTAAAGAACAAAAATGAATAAATTAGAAGTTTGAGGGTACACCATGTGGAAAGAAATCTTGGAAGAAGTGTGGTTCTGCAAAGAACCAGTTATTTCTTTTGACATGGTGTTATTACCTGCATGCCAACTTTCTAATTCATCATCCGCCATGCAAAGCTTCTAGTCATTTTAACCAAAAATGAGGGTATATACCACCGGTAACAAAATAATACTTTGAAGCTGATTCATTAAATCAAAGAAAAATCTGGCTTAACATTCACTCTGGATTGCATTCGTCAGCCTTTTTTTTCCGGGGGTGGGGGGGGGGGTGGTGATTCACGCTAAAATTGAACTCGACATTTGTTGTCCTAATGTTATTTTGAATTTAATGATACCTTCCCGCTGGGATTTGCTCAATTTTAAAGGAATGGATGAAAGACCCAAATGCATTCAAAATTTCCATATTAGTTTAGTCAACTATTATCCACATTGAATAAGTAAAGAGCGCCTGAGTGTATGTCGATCCCAATGGGTTTCATGAGGAAAGGTTTGAGTTTTCCTTTTTGATAGAAAATGACTTGGAAAATTCTATATTATCTGTTAATGCACATAACAGTACGGTGCATCTTTTCCGATAAATATTGGACGAGACTGGTGCGGCAATAAATTAAATATCATGTACAATGTATAACGGCTATAAAAGCTTTGCTTACAGATGTCCTGTTTGTTTTCTAGCATTAGTTGCGGCTGGGGATTTTAAGACATCTAAAAATGCTTATTACTTTCCGGATAAAGCGTCCAATCCCCAAATTATAAGGCTCGATCCTTTACATCCTTTAAAAATGATGTTCATTGAAGGGCCGGAGGTACTTTGGGCTGATTCCCCCCCCCCCCCCTCCCCCGGCTGGCCCACCGATGCGAGCAAAATCAATAACAGGGTACAATTCAGAATATATTACAAGCAAAATATAATTAAGCAAACCACAAGTACATCGAAGAAACATAAAAAGCTAAAATGCAAAAAGTCGATGAAGAAGGGAACGGTACGTCAGTACAACATCCTGTTTAAATGATTTTAACAAGGACAAATTGATATGTCCCAAGCCTTTGTTTTCTTTGTTTTCCATTACAGATTATACAAGGTACCTACCTGTTAACAGCAAGGCGATTTGCATGCAAAGTCCCAAAGTCATCGAGGACAAAGATGCTCCACTGAAAATTTGCAGCGGATGGAGCACGTTTAAAAAAAAAAATGATAATAGTTAATGAAGTATTGTTGAATGAGATGAGAATTGAGAAATGCACATCAAACATATCCCTTAATTAGTGTCAAGGGAAAGAAAATGTATTAATCGTGCAGAGTCTTGTCCAGAGTAAAATAACGCAATTTTGAACAGCCCGCACATAAACAGTAGCTAGTACACTACTCGTACTACCTGTACATGTACTATGTGATGTAATAGCAGAAATGCGGGGAAGTTAAAGTTTGTCTCTTGGAGGCGCTCTTCACAAACTTCATTACATACGTTTGCAAACATGCGGCAGGGAATCCACCCATGGAATGGAGGTAGGAAACAAGATAACCGAACGATTCTCTTTCGACTCGACAGAAACTTCTGTTTACCATCCAAACCAGTAACAGCTGATAAATGTGAGCAAATTAATGTTTACCTTAAATCATGGTGAGCAATTTTGTTGTGAAATTCTAATGTGGAATTGGTGTGTGTTACAGCGGTGGAGTATGTGCCGGTGCGTTAGTGGCACAGGCTATTTTTACGGCAGTGCATGGGCAGTGGCACATGTCGGGCTATTGCTACGGCAGTGGCACAGGCTCTTGCTGCGGCAGTCGACCGTCTGCTTCCCTGACATGACAGTTATCACTGTCATGACTGTCATGATCTTAGTTCCCTTACTTTTGTTTTCCTTTTTAAAAAGTCCCCTTTAAGCCGCGGTCGCATTTCTAAGAAGAAAATAAAATCCAGGCAATTTTTTAGACCAGTCTCATACGGTTTGTGCACCAGATATGGGAATCTTTCCGAAATGGGGGGGGGGGGGGGGATTTCCCCTTATCAACATAATGACCATGATTTGCACACGATAGAGGGGACAAGTATTGCATAAAACCACACATTTATTTATATAGTGATGAGATATTTAACAAAAATTTAAAATTCTGGCGTTTTAATTATCCCAGTTACCCTACATGTATACTATGATTATTATTGTCGTCAATTATTTGTTGGTGAAGGTGGCGACATAGTGTATCAATACACACTCCTTTTATAGCTCCATGCCTTTATAATGTACATGTACGGTGCAATGTACCATAGCCCCACTCAATGTGGCCAATTTACTGGACTACCTCCGTAAATAAAGGCAAAACATAGAACTTTGTCAAATTTTGATTTTCACATTTAGGCTTAGTTTTGTAGTTTAATTTAGCTTTAAAACATACATACATGTACTCAACCTCTTTATACTACATGTAAGCTAATCAGAGTGTGCTGCCTTTTTTCAGATGTCTGTTTTGTGAGAAATTTCATGTTGACATTTTGATACGCAGATGTGTGCAAACGAATCTGGAGATTTTACAAAAAAATAGACATCTGAAAAAGGCAGCACTTTCTGATTAGCCTATAAAGAGGTCGAGTATGCTTCTAAAGCAAAAATAAACTACAAACTAAGCCTTAATGTGAAAATCAAAATTTGACAAAGTTCTACATGTTTTTGTACATGTTCCAAGTGTGGCCTTTATTTACGGAGGTAGTCCAGTAAATTGGCCACATTTATGGGGCTAAATGTACCTCTGCCTTGAACTGAGTCACACTCCGATTATGCTTAAGTTCTCAAACAATGTGTTTCTTGAATTTGAAATACATACTGTTTTCCAAAATTATAGAAGTACTTACCTGCTGCATTATAAGGAAAATAGAAAAATCAAGGATTGCATTATCAATGACCTGGAGGAAAATCATTCAGTCATTTCGGATAAACACACTCCAAATTTCCCCTGAAAATTACATAATGAACAGAACTTAATTTTTCCTGGTTATTAACCAGCGAAGCAACTTTCATAGTGAATTTCCTTTTTCCGGAAAGTTATAGAACATATTCCTGTGTGGCTATAAATAAAATAGATTAGAAGTCCAGTATTTGAGACATTTTCAGACATCAATTTTACATTGTAATACATGTACAGCCTGTGTCCAAAAAAAATGGTACAATCAGAAAAAAATTGGTTAAAATATTAAATTTCAAAATAATGCATTCTAACTTGGCATAGTATTAAAGAACAAAGACTGGGCTTTCCAATAGTGTTTGTTTGATCTTATTTGCTTTTGTCAATTCAGAGATATAATCAATTTAGTGCGATACACCAAAATCGATTTTGTGCCACTTTAATGCATGGGCAGAGTTGTTTCGAGTACTGTGGCATAAACTCGATTTTTGTGTTCGCAGTAAACTGGAGTTATCTCTGGATTGACAAAAGCAAATGAGATGAAACAAAAAGTACTGGACGGAAAGCCTGGTTTTTTTTCTTTAATGTGATGCTCAAAACGACTAACTTATGTTGAGATTTAATATTGAAAAACAAATCGTTTTCGATTGTACCATTTTTTTTAGACAGGCTGTACATGTACATGTGCATGTAAATTGATGTTTTGCAATCAGAATGTGGACACGAAAGTGAATTTCAACACCTGTGATTATGTCGCTCGCTTTCAAAATTCTCTGTTTATTTTTCTGGATTAATGCATGTAAAACATCAAAGCATGCATCACATGATAGAATACAGTGTGTGATACTTGTACAAGTACCTTTTGAAGAGGATGTGTAGTTTTAGGCAAATTCACATTATATGCCGTTACTATTTGTCCCTACGTATATAGATAGACGTCCAAATAATAAACTCAAGTTAGAATGTTATCACAGTTATTTATGAACTAAAGTATTTTTCTTCACATCTAATAGACCAAAATGGCTACAGGACCTGCAGTAAGTTCAGCACTAGAGACGATCAGCAGATATCATCTTGAGTGCAGCATATGTCAAGAGAGATATCAACAGCCCAAGATACTGGAATGCCTACATAGCTTTTGTGCGCAATGTCTGCTGAAATACTGCAGCACGAAGCACGAGGGATCTACAGCAATTCCTTGCCCTGTGTGTCGACAGGAGACAAATCTTCCTCAGGCGGGGGTGCAGGGTCTGAAAACCAATTTTCACCTGATTGGTCTGGTTGAGGAGTTTGACCTGCAGGAAAGGTTGATGTGTTCGGGTGACAAGAAGCTGCTATGTGAGATATGTGATGAAGGAAGTGAGGCGATGGATCACTGCATGAACTGCTCCAGAAATATCTGCTCCAAATGTAAACAAGTTCACATGCAGTTTGCTGAATTATCAGTTCATGTTATAAGTAGCTTGGATGACATTCGTGGGGGGAAAACATCAACATATCAAATCAAATCAAAGCATCCACAACATTCAAAATGTCAAATCCATGAGGGCGAAGTGACAAGGTTCTTCTGCAAAACGTGTGAAGTGATGATCTGCCGAGATTGCACTGTCATTGACCACTGCAAGCCAGAACACTCGTACATTGACAGAAATCTGGCCACATCAACGTACAAAAAATCATTAGCTGAATTGCTTTCTCCACTTGAAAACTCAATGATCGAACTCCAGGAGTCACGAGAGAAAGGCTCAAGAATGAAAGAAGATTTGGGTGTCACAGTTAAGAGGGTCATGACAGAAGTGCAAGACAGAGCAGCTGAGATACGAGCAGAAGTAACGGCTCAAGAAAATCGCATCCTTGACGACATCAAAAACATCCAAACAGATCGTGAGCAAAAACTGGACGAATCTGAAAAAACTATGGGTTTGACAGCGGAGAGATTTCAGTATTCAGTAGACACAGCAAGGGAGGTGGCAAGGACTGCATCAGATAGTGACTTTCTCTCACTCTATCCCACAATCACCAAAGACTTGAAATTGTTGGCAGATCAGAGTGTGCCTAAAGTTGACACCAGGCTTGCATTTCTGAAATTCAAGCAGAGTGAGGGCGTAAGTGCCATCAATCTGGGTGATCTGGTGGTTGAAGACAAATGGAAGCTGTGTCGTGAGTTTGGTAGAAAGGGAAGCGGTCCAGGAAAGTTCGATATGGCTCGGGGCGTTGCTGCTAGCCAACCTGATGAAATTGCAGTGGCTGACTACTGCAACAAACGAGTCGTTATCTGCACCATCGATGGCAACCAGAAAAGCACGATCCCTTTGCAAGGATGTAAGTTTAAGTTACCGTGCATTGCAATCTCCCCAAAATTGTATGCACACATTTTTTTCTCTGCCCATTAATGATCATTTATCTGTTTTTAATTTTTCTCAAGAGATCTGATAAAACTGAATCACAGTAAATTTGATGCGGAACATATTTTAGTGAAAACCTTGGTTTTCATCACATGGAGATTTTAATAAATAAATGCATCGTCCATGTCAAACATCTAGTTTCCTATCTATCTGTTTTTACAAGTTGATCAACTTTCACAAGTTGATACAAATGTAGATACTAGGAAATTAAATGAAAAGCCCATTAATGTTTGATATTAGGTTTTTGCCCTGTCCACACATGTTTTAATTTAGTTTGCTTATAACTGTTTTCATTATTTTGGTTTTCTCATTTCATGACATTTTTCCAAAGATTGAAGGTTCAAGGAAAATCCATTTAATATTAAAGAAGTACATTGTATTCTCATTTTTTTTTCGATACGCTGGTTTCCGTATACCTTCTCAGTTATTGTCCGAAGTTTTTTGTTTTGTTTCCTATTATTCCACTGAAAGATACCAAAAAAATGTGCCCCTCATTATCCTCGATGTAGATATCAAGAGAAGCTTAAACATCCAAACTTACAGGATACCTTGAGACACGGTGATTTCTCAAACATGTGTATCGATCGAACCTTGACAATGTACATGTATATTCTTTACCAGCTATTCACACAATATCACTCATTTAAGATTTCATTATTAATCTGTTTATAAATTGCAATTCAGATTGACTGACCACTAATTTTGTTTACATCGCGATTCTTACAGTTCCACGCAGCATAGCAGCTACACACATTGACAATCGTTTGGTTGTTGTTGAGGAAGGCGCATCCCATGTGAAGGTGTTCAAGAGCGACAACACGCTGGCATACGAGTTCCCAACGGTGCCGCCGAGTGAGGTTGGTAAGACAGCAGTTGACCTCAAGAGCGTAGCTGTCAAGAATGATGGTACCATTGCAGTGGGAGATGTAGCGAGGATGGTTTTGACAGTGCACAGCCCCACTGATGGTGAGCTCCTTCATACCATACCAGTCAAGATTAGACCTTACTCTCTGGCTTTTGACAGCAATGCTCAAGTGATAATAAGTGATTATACATCACATACAGTGGATATTGCTGGTGATAATGGTACTTCAAAATGCACCATCAAACCCACCATCAATGGGCAACCTGTAAAACAATGCAACGGTGTATGTACTGATAGCACAGGTATCTATGTTGCAATGCATAAAGGTGATAACACGGGTCATATCCACCACTATGACCCTCAAGGTGGCTTTCTCAAGTGCATCGCACGTGGTCTGCACTACCCAAAGGGTATTACATTTACATCTGATGGGCAGCTGGCAGTGGCCGACTACTACAGAGTAAAGATGTATCACCAGGTGTGATACGACATTGTAATCAGTAATGTCAGTTTCTAAGCATGGGTGAAATGTCGATAGAAAAATGAGAGAATGGTTCTAATTGACACAAAAAAATAAGCACGTTGATACAAAACGCAATACAAAAGCCTAATTATACAGTAAATGTGTGTTGCCTGTAATATTTTGACTTTCTGATCAGTTCTTTCTGATGAGGCCTCGAAATCCTCCAATTGGCCCCATGGAAAAATAGCAGATAGCCTCAGCCCTGCAAATTCCTCCAATTTTTCTTGAATATGGTCTGTGGAGGGATGACCACTGCCTGTCCTGCAAAATCCTCCAGTAGTGACTTTCGATATGTTGAGGCTTGGCAAGTGACATCCCGGAGCAGTACAGAGGATTTCAAGCATAATCCAGGCATATATTAATGAATGGCTGAGCAGAAACAACACAAGGTCCGGCCCAAGACCTTGTCAAAATGCATCCTACAAAATCTGTCACACACTACTGATATGTAACCTCAATCCTGCAAATTCCTCCACTTTGGCAAGGAGGATTTTGAAGGATTCAGGGCGGTTGATATTATGTATGTACATGTATATTTGGCGCTGCGATGGGGGTCTTTGATTTAAACCGTATTATAACAGAATGATAACTTGAACAAGAGAAATGAAGAATTTCTTATTACACTTTTTAACACGGGACCGAGGATACATGTTCTATTTTTACCACTTTAAGCAGCTTATATTTCCAGTAAATTGGATATTTCAAAGAGGTAACGCCTTCAATTTGTTTAAATTGTCATTTCGAATTATAATGAGTCTCCTTTTTAGTTCATGCCCTTTCTCGACACAAAATGCGCAGTTCCTGATAACCAAAGTTTTGGTAATTAAAAGAAAAGAAACAACGAAGACAAAAAAATGCTCGGGAATAAAAGCTCAAAATAATTTGGGCAACTGTCAGTATCGACGCAGCAAGAAAAAAAAAGTCTGTACATTACCAAAAATGGCATCACAGTTTTGCTTATGAGTTACATTCGCACTGCAAAAATGGCTCTTGCAACAAATTAATACCGATTTTGACAATTTCATCCAATCAATTTTTTAAAACGGACCATAACAATGTATGGAATAGAATATTGGCTAGTCATTATCCCTCCTATGGAAACAAGTTGTCCTTTCATTGTTCAGTCAAAATCAGTCCACTGACTGTTTTTGACGATTGAGTTTTATCTCTGCCCACATATAGCAGGATTGACTGGCTGTGACTGCATCCTGATACAGCTATGCTTTGACTGTGGGTGATTGGTAAGCCAGCTGTGCCTATACTACTTATCTGCTTGTTTTTGTTGATTTAATTTGACTAGTAACAGTGCTTTTTGAAATGTATGTATGATGACTGTTTGGTGACCCGCCTGTGTAACAGGCATGACAGTAAAGACTGTTGATTTGTTGACTGTCTGTGACTGATCAGACAGCAGGAGGGTTGGACACTACATTGCAATTTAGCCTTGATGATCCACTGAGCACCATAGGAAAGCACACACGTAAACGAAGTGTGACGTTATCAGTACAGAGGCTTATTACAATGTATCATAGTTTAAACTATATGCATGCCAACTACATGTTCACATGTATGTTAAGTATTTGTATTTGAATTCTAGTTTAACCCTAAAGGGGTCGGGGCGGAATCCGCCCCCCCTCAACATTTTCCGTGATAGCCTCTAAAAAAAAATTTTCGTGACCCGAGCTGTTATGACTTTTCAACCTCGAGCTTTGCGCATCTTTTGATACCAAAAACATAAAAATCGGACCACGGGTTGCTGCGAAGCGAACATTTTCCGGCGCTACGCGCCGTGAAAACTGAATTTTCGCATATGCGTCGTGTACACAGAGCAGAATTGCCATTCGTACATATGAATAATTAATTAGCCATAATTCCAAAATCCTTTGACCTATAGTCATGAAATTTGTTGGGTATGTTTAGGAAGAGTTGCTCTATGCATGTGCCGAGTATCAGTCATGCATGTAACAGTCCTTTATTGTAGAAGATTGTTTTATTAATACACTTTGGAACTTACTCAATTAATTCCCCGAATTTGCCCGTTTCATACTTGGTATTTATTTATTTTTATTTTTGTATTTGTTCCGTGGAAATTTAAAAAAAAATCTCTCTCCCTTTCTTTATTTTCTTATTTTGGCACTCTCTTTTCCCTCCATATTTTTACATGACAAAGGGGGGGGGGGGTGTTGTGTTTAACAGCCAAAACACCCCCCCCCCTGCGTACGCGCCTGTTAGTCCTTTACGCATGATGAACAGAAGTTACGAGAATTGTTTTACATGTATCTTGTAAACAAAAGTCCAATTATAAATAGGTATATGTATTTTTTCGACAGCAACGATATGTTTTGAGACGCTTTTGGTTCATATAGATTATAGTCATAATAGACAATTTAAATGTGTGACAGAATTAAATCTGGGCGGTTGCAGGCATCCGAAGCATCTCCAAACCTTGTGTCCTGTTCACCCTTCGTCCAGCTATGGCCAATGATCAAATATATATATTAATAATCAATAATCTATCGGGAATCAGGCTCATTTTAACATCCTAAATATGAAGTATTGTTTTGAGGCCGGATCGGGGATATATTTTCGTACAAATCCTCCTCACTCCTTCCCAACCATCCATCCCCACGCACCCTCCGCCTCACCCCCTTTCGAACAAAAAAATGACAAGTAAATACAATGTAGATTTTAATAGTAAAAAAAAAAGCATAATGAAATGTAAAATGATATAACACAAAAAGGGCAAAAACTAATGAAATACTTTTTGAAATACTTGAGAGGAGTGCACCCCAACAAAAGACAATCGAATGGTTTTGAAAAAAAACGATGAAGAATAAAACATCTTTTGGAACTTGGTGGCGATTACTTGCGAACAATATCGATGTGCTGAGTCGATAGCACGTACACGCATGTTTGTACATGTACCGGTACACTGTACTCAATGTACTCGATACCGATAGCACACGAAAGGTGGGCGTGTTGTCCATTATTGTGTATTGGAGGCGCTCTTCATGTGGCATTCACTAATTACTACTTCCGTGTTGAATACTGCTTCGAGGAAACCAACTGAAAGAATCACTTCCTTCGACTCAACAGAAACTTCAAGGGAATTTACCCTCCAAACCAGAAACAACGGATAAATGTGAGCAAAATAATATTTGCCTACCTTAAATACCGGAGTAGCATTTTATCGTAAAATTCTGATGTGGGATTGTGTTGGGTGTGCGCGATATTAGGCAGGCGGTGATGAAGGCACACGTACGTGCTGTATATCAGGCTACAGGTAGCATAACAAGCTGCTGACATGGCTGGTGGCTGTATACGGATGGCAGGACTTGATGCAAGCTTGCAACATACGATATCTGCAAATTTTGCAACCTGACGCCACTTTTGTCTTCACATATCATCTCCATGAAAGTCATTCACTGCAAAATGATGATAAGACCGAATCTGGAACCCTGAGAAAATACTGTTACCGTTATTACCGTTATTAATTTCCCAACGGCGTTAATTTTGGGAATTTTTTTTTTAACTCTCCATGGACTTTGTGCTCAAATCGCGAAAGTGGCGTCAGGTTGCAACAGTTCCCCCCCCCCCCATATTATTTTTACATGTTTTAAAAACGAATGACAGCTTGTTCATGAACATTTAGATGAAAATAAAATGAAAAAGAGGTACCGTATGTCATTTTATCTCAGAAAATCGAATAAAAAGGAATGTAGTACTATGCCATGAATCCTCTTTATAGTTTTAAAAGAACACCAGACCAGCGACCTTTAATTCAGTTTTTCTTGCAGGGTTATGTATTTCTCTTTTATATCTCAAGAATGTATCCCGTTGGAGCAGTTAAGCACCAGATGAATGCCTACAGAGCAATTAATATCGCTTGACTTAATAACAACTTTGGAATGCCTGAATAATTTTTCCTCTGGAAACGCACCTAGATTTTTTCATCAATTAAATATCAAACGTAAAATTCGTTTTTGTCGGGTAATGAAGGCATGTTTTCTTTCTTTGTCATTGAAATTGATGCACAAACAACACAAATCATGAATGTTTCGGACTGTGCGTGTACATGTAACATTTATGGAGTTTCAAAAAGAAAGATCCAACAGGAAGTAAACAGTACCCTTTTGGACTGGCTTTTGTGATGTAACTGATTTGTCTTTTAGATTAACCAGTTATTTTTCATTGGGCTCAAAACATCGAAAGCCTGGTGTGAAAAAGGCCCGTGCTTTTAAAAGGAAAATTCACTTAATGCTAACATTATAACCACCCTGCATAGTTGATGAACAACAAAACTGTCATCTTATTCTGATTTTTTTTTTCAGATAATTTTTTTATGAACTCAGAATATGGTATATTTTTCATTTATTTGGTTTGAAAAGTGGCATCAGTGCGACACTTCTTCAACTTAATTCATAACTGTACACGAAAATAATGTATGTTAACGCCAACTCCCTAGCATCTTTTACTAGGATCTGGACCAAGTCCATCAAAATCTATCAATCACTGTGCATTCATCACGAAACTTTACATGACATGATAGAATCCACCACTGACGCACTGGTTGACATTCAAGGACTTCCTACCGGTACACATGGCTTTTATCACAATAGCAGTACAGGAAGCTAGGCAAAATCAATCGGATATCCCTAGCACTGCTTCAGGCTATTACGCCCAAGCCCATCGTACATGTACTCCATCAATATTAGTCACGCCAGGCTTTCTGGATCAATGCAAGTCCCCCAGAATCCACCAGTATGGGGGGGGATGGATTTTGATAGAGTTAAGGGTGGTTAGGGTTAATGTTATCCCCAAATATGTGTCACAAATATATATTGGTCTCCCTCTGTACATTGTGTTGGGTTACACACCGAGTGTGCTAAATTTCCTGAAATGATATGTGTCGAGTCTTGAATTTAAAATCCAGATCTACTGTTTCCCAATTGATATTTGCCACATGCATGGAAGCTACGTACAAAATTACAAGGAAGAATGAAAAGGTCAAAGGTGCATGTTCCATGACCGAGCGGAAATCCATGCAGTCATAACCATGGTTATTAAGTACCTTTCATAGTTAACTTCCTTTTCAGGAAATTTAGCATGTACATGTAGGCATATTGCTGTGCTTATGTGTGGCTCTTAAATAATACGAAGGAAGTCGAGAATTTTGAGACATATGTTAATATAGGGCCACTATTGTGCATCTTACAACTCTCAACGTATACAAGTAAATGGATAGTTTACATGATAGTTTCCAGGAATGATGAATTTCAACATTGGCTGAATAAAATCACTTTCAGATTTATTTGCCTTCCTAGATTAATTTACCATGTAAACATTTCAAAGGTGTAGATAAAAAAAAACTTGTAATATTTAAGAGCCTGATGTTCAGTTATTGATAATGGGTGTGACTTTGCACTTCTTTCCTTTTCATTCAAATCTTGAGAGCCCTGGAATCGATTCGTTTTAAATACAAAAACACATATCCTGCCAATTACTCCCTTCAAATATAAGAAGACATGCGAATGATAAACCTAAGTTAAATTTGTATCACTCTTATTTTTTAATATAAAATATCTTTCTTTACATGTATTAGACAAAAATGGCGACTGGACCTGCAGTAAGCTCAGCTCTAGAGACGATCGGCAGACATCATCTTGAGTGCAGCATCTGCCAAGAGAGATACCAACAGCCCAAGATATTGGAATGTCTGCATAGCTTTTGTGAGCAATGTCTGCTGAAATATCGTAGCACGAAGCACGAGGGCTCTACAGCGATCCCTTGCCCTGTGTGTCGGCAAGGGACGAAGCTTCCCGAGGCGGGGGTGCAGGGTCTGAAAACAAACTTTCATCTGATAGGTCTGGTTGAGGAGCTGGAACTTCAGGAAAAGATAGTGGGATCGGGCGATACTGGTCTTTTGTGTGATATTTGTGAAGGGGGCAAGGAGGCAACGCAGCGATGTCTGGACTGTGGTCAGAATATGTGCTCGGTATGCATCAAAATGCATCTTCGCTTCGCTTCCTCATCAGACCACAAGGTTGCTCCCTTGGAGGACATTCGCGAAGAAAAGGTTACAGTCACAAAGGAACATCAGAGACAACATCCGAAATGTCCGATCCATGAGGGCGAAGTGACACGGTTCTTTTGCACGACGTGTCAAGTGTTGATCTGCCGCGATTGTACCGTCATAAACCACCGTTCGCCAGAACACTCGTTCATTGACAAAACTCTGGCCACATCCACATACAAGCAATCGTTGGCTGAACTGGTTCCTCCACTTGAAAACACAATGGAGGAACTCCAGAAATCACAAGAGAGAGTATCAATAATAAAAGAAGATTTGGGTGTCACAGTTAAGAGGGTCATGACAGAAGTGCAAGACAGAGCAGCTAAGATAAGAGCACAGGTAACAGCTCAAGAAAATCGTATCCTGGACGACATCAAAAAGATCCAAACCGATCGTGAGCAAAAACTGGGCGAATGTGAGAAAACTGTGGGCTTGGCAGTGGAGAGGATTCAGTTTTCACTCGATACGGCTAGAGAGGTGACAAAGACTGCATCAGATAGTGACTTTCTCTCACTTTATCCCACAATCAGCAAAGACTTGAATTTTTTGGCAGATCAGAGTATGCCTGGAGTGGACAACAGGCTCGCATTTCTCAAGTTCAAGCAGAGTGAGGGTGTTGGTGGCATCAGTCTGGGTCAGGTGGTAGTGGAAAGCAAATGGGAGCTGAGTCGAGAGTTTGGTACAATGGGAAGCGGTCCAGGAGAGTTCAGCGGGGCTTGGGGCATAACTGCTCGTCAACCTGATGAGATTGCAGTGGCTGACCTCAACAACGAACGCATAGTGATCTGCAGCATCGAAGGCATGCAGAAAAGCTTGATCCCTTTGCAAGGAAGTACGTGTAAGCTGAAATTACCAGAACATTAAAAATTAACAAGCTTCATTGTTGATACTTGTTATATTTGACCTTCTCGTATCTTAATTGTTTTTTTTCTTCAATAATCTGGTTCGCTTTGTTTGAGAACTTTCTACCAAATGTGGAAAGTTGAGCACTTGATAGTAGCGTTTAAGGACAGAAATATTAACATGTAAAATGTACAAAAAAATTAAGTATTTCTAATTTTTCTGGTTCGCCGATTACCTTCTGAATTGATGGCATGGAAGTCTTTTATGTATTTCTCATTATTTCCACTGAGATCAATTCATGCCACATAATCTGGGGCATATATAACGACAAAGCTTACACATCAAAACTTACAGGGTACCTGAAAAGGCGATGATCTCTCAAGCATACATGCCAAACCTTGATAATGTTTACTCTTTGCCAGACAATTATCACTTATTTGTTATCACGCTTTTAAATCTTCATTGTTGCAGTTTTATAAATTGCTATCCAAATGGAACATTGAACTGTTATTTGTGTTCACATCTTGTCTCTTTCAGATCCACGCGGCATCGCAACTAAACGCACCGATAATCGTTTGGTGGTTGTTGAGGACGGCGCATCCAATGTGAAGGTGTTCAACAACGACAACACGCTGGCATACGAGTTCCCAACGGTGCCACCGAACGAAGTGGGTAAGACCGCAGTTGGCCTACAGAGTGTAGCAGTAAAAAATGATGATACCATCGTAGTAGGTGATGTCCAGAGAATGGTGTTGACTGAGCACAGCCCCACTGATGGTAGGCTCCTCCAAACCATACCAGTCAATATTAAACCGTACTTTCTGGCTTTTGGCAACAATGACCGAGCGGTAATCAGTGACTTTGCATCACAGAGAGTGGATGTTATCGGTGACAATGGTACTACAAAACGCACCATCAAACCCACAATCAATGGTCAACCAGTAAAATACTGTTGTGGCGTATTGACTGATAACTCAGGTATCTATGTTGCATTGCATAATGGTCAGAGCACCACGACGGGTCATATCCATCGCTATGACCCTCAAGGTGGCTTCCTGCAGTGCATTGCGCAGGGTCTGCGCTCACCCTGGGGAATCACATTTACATCTGATGGGAAGCTGGCAGTGGCTGACCACTTCTCAGTCAAGATGTATCACCAGGTGTGATACGCAATTGTAATCAGTCATTTCAATTTCAAATCAGCGGTTGCATGTACATAGAGAAATGAAATAGCGCCTCTGATCCAACAATAAACACCAATATTACGTATATTACTTCAAATTTATAATCAAGCAATCCATTTTGTTGAAAACTGTGGTCAGTGGAACTTTTCTTGTGTAATTTTGTCACATGAATGCGTGTATTTGGAGCTTATAACTGTAGTTGCTTGGTTTAAACCTTATAACACAATGAACAGTTTAAACAGGTGCATAAAGAATTTCTTATTAAACAATATTAAACACTATATAAAACGGCACTGATGAGGATACCATGTACCATTATTACAACTTTAAGTAGTTTATGTTTCAAGTAAATTGGATTTTTATAAATTTAAAATTAAATATTTTAATGAAACTTTGTTTACATATCAATTTCTAAATAATTATAATGAATCGCCATTTTTAGTATAATCTGGTTTTCAACAAAGAATATGCAGTTCCTGAAAACTGAAGAAACGCTCACAATAATTCTGGCAACTGCGAGCATCGACGCAGTTGTAACAAAACAATTATTACCAAAAATGTTACAGCAGTTTATCCATGATTATAACATTTTCCATAGACAAAAAAGCTCATGCAAAATTATACCAATAATGATGATTGCATCACAGCAATTCTATAAAAACGGACCCTTTATATGGTATGGAATAAAGCTGAAGGTTTTCTCCGAACGATGACCTCGTTATAATTTGGTTTGTCTTTTCCCCTCATGCAAACATATGCAAAGTTGCCCTTTGGGTCAAAACAAGTTAAGTGACGGTTTTTATCGATTTGGTGTTCCCTGCCTACATATATCACGTGTCGTTCTAAGATCAAATACTGTAAGGATGAAAAACTTAAATAGCCATTCAAGCGAAAACGTGAGATACCATTATTTCAATTTTCTTTCAAACTAATTTCTCTGATAATTTAGATGTATTTCATTTTATAACAAACGACATACGGGTTCAGACAACTGAGGGTGCTAATGTGATATCATGAATCCTAAAGTACGTGTATGTTTTTACACAACAGACGTTCATTGAGTGACTAAAATAAACAATGAAACTCCTAAAACACACAAAAAATGAACCCGACCACATGCATGTATAGACCAACATCATAATACATGTAGGTATTGTCAACGTTCATACTACAGCAGCAAATTTGCAAAACTATTTCGTCACATGTAGAGTCAAATTTAAAGCTACGTTTGTTCGTTCTGTTAAAGACATATTTTAATATTATTTAACCCGCCTGTAAATAAGCCGTTTTAAGAAATGTGATCATTCTAAGTTCATTCTATTTGACTTGGCTCATTTCAAAACTTAGTTGTATAAGTTGAATTCAATTGCCTCAATAATTGGGTTGAATTGTGTTAAGAAGTTAATATTCAAGAAGAAAATGGAATTAAAAGAAATTCCATTGAAACAAGTACAGTGATTAGCACAAAACATCTTAATGATCTAGTCTAGCTCCTGTCAAAAGAAATATTATTTGTTAATTTTATTAAAACCAATATAACCCTCTGATGATCATGTAAAGAAGTCACAAGAATTGTTTGATGTAGTAACCGACAGTTCAATAATATATTTACATAAATTTCCTCGACATTTGCGATAATATATTTCCAGTACATACATGTAATTCAGTTTGTAAATAATCAATACTGAAAGTGACATGGCAGGATCTTTTCAAAGGTTAAAATTCGGCCCATGTGTTATATTCTTGGCCAATAGGAATGTGTTAGCTACATGTACATGAGTTCTATGGATTTTATGACAAGGATAAGCTTTCAATGAAAAAGAAAAACAGTGTTGGTAATTTTCAAGTAACTTACATACCTTTATAAGTATTTAAACGAGTCCAAGCAATTTTGACACAATTTCCTGAAAGTCTTTAACTGTCTAAATACGTCAAAAGTGGAGTCAAATTGAAAGCTAAATTTGATTGCCTTTCAAAGACATATTTCAATTTCTGTAAATACACAATTTATGGGAAATGTAAATGTCATTCTCTGTTGATTTGACTTCGCTTAATTTAAAAGTGATTTTATTAGTTTATTTCAGCTGCTTCAACTGATTGGGTTTGCTTCAGAAGTTTACAATCAAGAAGAACCTGGATTGGAATCCATTGGAACGGTTTTTGTTTTATTATTACAACTCATGGTAATTAAAATGACGAACTCCTCTAGTGAAAAAAAGTTCGAGTTATCATGAACGGAAGTTACGAGCATTGTTTTCTCTTTTAACCAAAAGTCCAAATATGTATCAATGTATTTTCTTGACATCAACGATATGTTTTGAGTAGATTTTAAGTCATGTAGATTACATGAGATTAAGTTTATAAATACAGTCGAATCTCGTTATAATAAACTCGCTTAATACAAAATTCTGGTTATAACAATCATAAGCCTTAGTCCCGACTGTGCATTTATGTGCACAATGAATGGGACTGATGTTCCTCTTAATACAAAATTCTGATATAACAAACAATTTGGCTAGGTCCGAACGAGTTTGTATTAACGAGACTCGACTGTAATAAGATACTAACCTGATTTCTTTTCAAAGGGTTAACATTAAGCCACGTGATCGGTTTTTGGCCAATAGGAATGTTTTAACCGTCCTAAATATTTTATGACATGGTTGAGCTCCCAACTGGAACGAAATATACTGTTGTTAAATTTTAAACAAAATTAGCAGGATATAAATTTGTTTTAACTGTCAAAGCGAATTTGACGCAATTTCCTGACAGTCCTGAGATATATGAAAAACCGTTTTGTTTGTAATATTACTTAAGGTTTTTTTGTAGCTTAAGTGCATGTTATAAGTGCATGTTGTAACCTATGACACAAAAATAATCTATTGGAACCAATTTAAAAATAAAAAAGGATTTTTTTTCGCTGAACGGCAACCCGTGGTCCGATTTTTATGTTTTTGGTATCAAAAGATGCGCAAAGCTCGAGGCTAAAAATTTATAACAGCTTGAGTCGCGAAAAAATTTTTTTTAGAGGCTATCGCGGAAAATGTTGGGGGGGGGGGCGGATTCCGCCCCGGCCCCTTTAGGGTTAAAGATGAGGTTATTACATGTATCGTTTGAAAAAACAAAGCGTGATAGGCCTACTTGATATTGAGTTAACGTTGTATGGAAAATTCAAGGACTCTGTGTTTCCTGGGATCACCTTACGAATATGAGACCCTAGACGAGATATTTTTCCCTTCCAGATGGATTGACTCCTTACTTTAATACTGGGCCACAATTGTCCAATGATATAAAAGTGTGTATATACGAAATATATATAAGCAAATCCCAGTTACAACCGTATGATGTTTGTCGTGAAATATAGCCAAAGGTCTTTTCTCAAAAGTTGAAATGATTCTCTGTACCGTTGATCTTCTAATTAACTGGGTAACAAAAATAATGGTAATTTCAATGGAGCCTTTTATGAGACAAAGTTTAGTTCAAGTTGAATTTGACGTCTTTGTAAGTTTTGTGCAAATACGAGAGTTGGAAAGCTACGGCTCCCTCCCTAAAACTGCAGAATATTGAGGGTATGCAGAGGTGATCCAAACTCCGTCCGTTGTTACATTCAGCCATATTGACAAATGCAAAATTCATTAATTAAACCAAAAGGGGGTAGTACTGGTTAACATTTCAAACATTCCTTGTTCATAAAAAAAATAGATCGCCGGAGTATGTTGGGCTACTCCTGGATCACTTGAAGACAGATCACATCTCTTGGTATGTCATGGACCGTGCTTTGAGTTTGGACTTTCAACACGAAATTAATACAATGCATTTTCGAATCCGTCCAGACATGAGGTCATTTTCAAATAGTTTAGCAACCTCAATCTTCTTTTCAGACGTGTGACTGTACATATCGGGGATATGTTAACTTTATAGAGTGTAGAACGTAACATTTGTTGGAAAAAAAGTCGAAGGATGAGCGTTATTTTTAACAAATGTATACTGCCACCCTGCTGCAGCTAGCTTAATTAAACGCTGGTGCATCATTTATGCGCAGGCTTGTACTTTGGAGTCGTGCGTTTAATCACTGCATGTGTACAACCGATACATGTGCTAGGCATAACGATACCATTATGCGATTGTATAGCTGACTTAGGTTGCGCAAACAGAAAGGGTTAAATAAGCCTGACACGGGATACTAAATACACTTGAGTGCAATTTGATCAAAGTCCACATATTAACTGCGTGGGTCTACTCAGGCCCGTACACATAGACTCGTTTATAGTGCACTACACTATACTGTTGTCCGCCAATTTATCCATGGATCATCCACATCAGTAGTGCAGTATTATAAGCTTGGAAGACCAAGAAACTCTATTGACGCCACAAGACGACCAGGTAACCACAGCGGATGCAACAGGTGAACCCTGTAATTAGGGTGAGTGACGCACCATGCTGGCAAATCTAAACTCATTAAAAAACTGCTCTGGTTATAGTACACTAAACTTAGGCAAGAGCAGGTGCATTGCTTCAATTGTAAAAGAAGTTGGAGATTAATAACAATGACGGCACGGATCAACAATTCAAAAATAAAAGAAAAACTGAAGTGATCCGCTTCTTTATAGCAGCTGTTAAATTATATTTTTGTTCCTCGCAGAAATGGCGACTGGACCTGCGGTAAGTTCAGCTCTGGAGACGATCAGCAGACATCATCTTGAGTGCTCCATCTGCCAAGAGAGGTACCAGCAGCCCAAGATACTGGAATGCCTACATAGCTTTTGTGAGCAATGTTTGCTGAAATACTGCAGCACGAAGTACCAGGACTCTACGGTAATTCCTTGCCCTGTGTGTAGACAGGAGACGAAACTACCAGAGTCTGGGGTAAAGGGCCTGAAAACCAACTTCCATCTGATCGGTCTGGTGGAGGAATTGGAACTGCAGGAAAAGTTGGTGTGTTCGGGTAACACAAAGCTGCTCTGTGAGACATGTGATGATGGCAATGAGGCAACAAATCGATGTCTGGATTGTGCACAGAATATCTGCTCACGTTGTCAAAGTTCACACAAAAGATTTGCAACTACATCAAGCCACATAATCCCTACTTTGGAGGACGTTCGAAAGGAAAAGGTGGAACTGATGAAGGAAAATCCGAAACAACATCCAAAATGTCCAATACATGAAGGCGAAGTGACAAGGTTCTTCTGCAAGACGTGTGAAACACTGATTTGCCGAGATTGTACCGTCATTGACCACTGTAAGCCAGAACACTCGTACATTGACAGAAATCTGGCCATATCGACGTACAAGCAATCGTTGGTTGAACTGGTCTCTCCACTTGAAAACACAATGACAGAACTCCAGAAATCACGAGAGAAAGTCTCAAGAATGAAAGAAGATTTGGGTGTGGCAGTTAAGAGGGTCATGACAGAAGTGCAGGACAGAGCAGCTGAGATACAAGCAGAGGTATCGGCTCAAGAAAACCGCATCCTCGACGACATCCAAAACATCCAAACAGATCGTGAGCAAAAACTGGACGAATGTGAGAAAACTATGGGCTTGGCAGCGGAGAGATTTCAGCATTCACTAGACACGGCAAGAGAGGTCACAAGGAGTGCATCAGACAGTGACTTTCTCTCACTCTATGCCACAATCAGTAAAGATTTGAAATTGTTGGCGGATCAGAGAATGCCTGGACTTGACAACAGGCTTGCATTTCTGAAGTTCAAGCAGAGTGAGGGTGTTGGTGGCATCAGTCTGGGTGAGGTGGTGGCGGAAGGCAAATGGGAGCTGTGTCGGGAGTTTGGTAGAGAGGGAACAGGTCAAGGAGAGTTCAGAGGGGCCTTGGGCATAGCTGCTCGTCAACCTGATGAGATTGCAGTGACTGACAACATCAACAAACGAGTTGTGATCTGCAGCATCGATGGCAACCAGAAAAGCACGATACCGATGCAAAGTTGTAAGTTTAAATTACCGTTCATTGCAATCTGCCGAATCATGCACACAAACAACATTTTCTTTGCTCATTATTATATTTTTGTTTTTAATTTTCCTCACGAGATCTGATGAAACGGAATCACACTAGCTTTGATGCGAAACATTTTAAGTGAATACCTTTGTGTTCATAACATGTAGATTTTTTAGTGTAAATGCATCGTCCATGTCAAAAATCAAATTGTCTTGCTATTTTTTCATAAATTGAACAAACACTACTGTAAATTGAACCTCACGTTTGATATTGGGTTTTGCCCCGTCCCCACGCATTTTTAACTAGTTTGCTCTTGTTTGTTTTCATGAATTTGGTTTTCTCTCTTCATGACATTTTTCCAAAGGATGAAAGTTCAAGGAAAATCCATTTAAAATGAAAGAAATATAAGTTTTCCTAATACACTAGTTAACTGGTTAAGTTCTCAATTGTTGTCAGGAGTATTTTAGTTGTTTCCCCTATTATCTCACTGAAAGATAAATAAGGCAATTATTGAAAGGCTTAAACATCAATATGTACAGGATACCTTAAGACACAGTGATATCCCTAACATGTACACGTACAAATGTAAATGTATATTTGACAATGTAAATATTTAGCCAGGGACACATTAATCATCACTCCAATTCATTTTGGATATTTTTATAAATTGCAATTTAGATTGAAATTGACCACTATTGTTTGTTTTTACATCGTGCCCCCTACAGATCCACGTGGCATCGCAGCTACACGCAGCGACAATCGTTTGGTGGTTGTTGAGGAAGGCGCGTCCCATGTGAAGGTGTTCAACAGCGACAACACGCTGGCATACGAGTTCCCAACGGTGCCGCCGAGTGAGGTCGGTAAGACCACGGTTAACCTCCAGAGCATAGCTATCAAGAATGAAGGTACCATTGCAGTGGGAGATGTGGCGAGGATGGTACTGACAGTGCACAGCCCCACTGATGGTGAGCTCCTTCATACCATACCAGTCAAGATTAAACCTCATTTTCTGGCTTTTGACAGCAATGATCGAGCCATAATAAGTAACTATGAATCACAGACAGTGGATATTGCCGGTGGCAATGGTACTACAAAACGCACTATCAAACCCACCATCAATGGTCAACCAATGAGATACTGCAATGGTGTATGCACTGATAGCTCAGGTATCTATGTTGCAATGCATAATGGTGATGACACGGGTCATATCCACCACTATGACCCTCAAGGTGGCTTTCTCAAGTGCATTGCACAAGGTCTGCACTGGCCACGGGGTATCACATTCACA